TTAAGATGATGAGTCACTCTATCAAGGCAGTGCAATGGAACAACACACGCTTAGCGATGCTTTCTTTTTGGCTGGACACCAGACTGGGACATGGGGAGAGAGAATGGAGATTCAGTCCTTACATTCTAAAAATCCTAGGTGTGGTGAAAGGCAAAATGGAGAAGTATTGCTTTGGGACCTATTTATTATATGTCCTCCCCTTTCTGTTCATCTGTGCCAATACACTAGCTGATGAGGGGCTTCGTCCCCCCGAATCTTTGGGTTCTTGGGTAGAAGGGTGCATTTTGATGAGGGACTCTTGAAATCTAATGATGGTCAAAAGGAAGGAAAACAAAATGATGTCCTAATAAATTGAGCAGTTCAAAGTTTGCATGATGTATGTCAGCATGTGTGACAGGGAATTTTATAGGTCACCTTGGCTAGACTGTCGTGTGGTGGCCGGTTGTTTAGTCAAACACCAGTCTAGGTGCTGCTGTGAAGGTGTTCAGATGTGATGAACATGTAGATCAGTAGACTTTGAGTAAAGCAGATTATCCTCTGTAATGTGGCTGGGCCTCATCCAATCATCGGAAGGTTTAAGAGCAAAGATTGGGGTTTCCTGATGAAGAAGGAGCTCTGTTCAAGATGGTAAATAGAAAACCTGCCTAAGTCTCCAGCTTGATGCCTCGCTGAAGTTGGACTCAAGACCGCAACACCAACACTTACCTGAATTTCCAGTCTGTTGGCCTACCCAATAGACTTTAAACTTGCCAACCCCCACAATTGTGCACCAATTTCTTAAAATCTCTCTCTCTCTCTCAATGTTGGGACTTCCCAGTTTCCAGCCTGAAGAGAAAAGGGAGAATCCCCACGGGAAGTACTTGGGATCCAAGCAAGAAGTGCGAAGATAGGGTGTTTCTGCCTGAATCACCACCATTGTTGCCCACGTGGCATACACCTCCTCAGTTTTAATGTCTTTTTTCTCTGCCAGGTTCTATTCTGCCTGCCTTCTGGTTGTCCGTCTGCGTTACCAAAGCACTCGTATTTTCCTCTATTAAAGCATTGATTAGGAGGTTCTCAAAGATTTACTGCCTGCATGCTTGCCTTCTGGACCTGTAGTAGATCCACGGTGCAGAGGAGGTGAAGACCAGGGATGGTGCTGGTCACCAGGAGGTACCTCTCAGGGAGGATGGAGGTTAAACTGAGTTCTCAAAGGTGCTTGGACGGGCGAGGGGGAAGGAGTGAAAGGGAGGTGGTACGCCTGTTCGAGGGAAGAGCATGTGTAAAGGCCCAGAGGACCGAAAGGCAGCAGGGGATCTGTAATATGCAAATAGTGGCGTGTGCCGCCGAGACTTGGGGAGAGGTGGGGAGAGGCTACTTCGCCCGCGCAGGGCGGCGGGAGCGCGCGTGCGCTGAGGCCCAGCTAGTAGGGGCGGGACGGGGGGCGGAGCGGTGAGCGGGGGCGGGGCCGGGGGCGGGGCCGGGGCGTGCTCTCCAGGCCCAGGCTCAGGTTTGAGGCAGCTGCTAGCGCTTCCGGCCGGAGCCCAAGTCGTCTCGTTTAGTTAATGCGCTTCGCGCTTCTTTTGAGGTGGACGCTTGAGTTGGGGACCAGAACTGCGAAGTGGTGCTTCTCGGAAGAAGGGGGCACCTGGTACCTTTAACATTGAACTGTGATCTCCGACCCCGTGCTCTTCGCTTTTAGGGCGAAGATACGCAGGGGGGGCAGTAGGGGGGACAATGAATAAATGGCTTCTCCGCCTGTTTCAGGCTTTTGCAGAACTCGATTCATGTTTGCCAAGGAGTTTCTAAATAAAAAGGGGTGCGTTTTATTTAAGAAATCTGCATGTAGCAATCAAAGAATGACCTGACACCTTCCCCGCGGGGCCGGTGGGTCGGAATTGGGCTGAATCACACAGTCAGCGGAGTCTGGAAGTTCCTACAGCGCGGCGCTGTTGGCGCAGAGCCCAAACAATAACAGAGCCTTCAGCCACCAGAGGGAGAAGCTTGGCGTGAGCCCGGATAGCTCAGTCGGTAGAGCATCAGACTTTTAATCTGAGGGTCCAGGGTTCAAGTCCCTGTTCGGGCGACGCTCCCCATTTTTCCTAATAATTTAAAAATAAGAACAAACTTTCGTAATCCGGGTTGCCTTCAGAGAAGGGAGTAAAATCCTGGAGACTGTAGGCTACGAGTCCAGACCCTTCCCTGAAAAGCCGGGCCTCCAGCGCTGACTGACACCGCGAACCTTTGTGCAAAAGCCCCTGTAAAACTTGCCGTGCACTGCTCCAGGGAATTAAATAGGCTGTTTTATTCTGCAACCACCCGCCAGGCCCCCAACTACTGACTGCTGTATTCACAGGAAGAGGGAATAGATGCCTTCCAGGACGTCCCTGGGACTCCCCCGGGGAACCTACCCCCAACGTTGTCCGGGGGCCCTCTTCGCGGACACTCTCTCTGGGGTTCCCTCCCGCTAGGTGCCTGTGAATATGGCATGGATCCTGCACCTACACGCCACCTTCCTATCCTTCTAGAGAATATTTATGCACTCTGCAAAGGGAGAGACAACCATCTAGAAACCCATGCACCATATAGAGCAGTCCCCTCTCTAAATGAAGTCTTCTCTGTACCCTGCCCCCCGCAAAGTGTGATCCTGAACACAGGGAGGTGTTGAGGTGGAGATGGCAGCTTCTGCTATGGGAGGAAGAGGGTGTGTATTGGAAAGACTTCAAGGGGCTGGAATGGGACAAGTCCTGGTGTTGGAAAAACAAAAAAAGTCAGCTGGCCCGGGCCTCAAACTAACAAGGGAAGGAGTTAGCTTCTGAAAGGTATTGAGGAAGTTGAGCTGTGGACACAAGAGAAGCTTAGGCATAGGTTCACTAAGACTAAAACTAATTTCCTTGGGAGGTAGAGGGAAGGTGCATCCTTGCTTCGATAAAGATTGAGCCTACCTTGCTTCTGCCAGGCAACAAAGAACAGTCTATCTTGATCTCCTTAGCAGGATGGAGGTGTAGGTTGATTGAGTCAGCTGCCCTCTTCTCTGATGGATGGTGGTACCCAGGGAGTCCTGATTAGTGGGGCAGAGCCAGGCTGGAGGGCGCACTCAAGAGGGAGGCTGGGCCTTCACCCTCCACACTGGAGTGCCTTACCCAGAGCCTGCACAGGCCTATACAGACCCACAATTACCTCCCAGTCTCCAAAGTGCAGCTTCCTCATCAGAAGAAAGAGAATCAGAGCAATAGCATCCAACTTATGAATTTGTAATTAAATGAGGTAAGAAGGCATGCACAGTGCTTAGTAGAGTTTTGCCCCAAGGTAAACATTTAATACACTGTAGCTATTATCATTATTATTCAATATTCAATATTGTTATTATTTTCAATCTAGGGAGCAAACAAAAGATACCTATCGAAACAGGTAAGGAACCATTACAAAAAAAACATACTCCCAATATGCCCAAGATCATAATCCAATCCATATTCATGTGATTTGTGTTGGTTGGTATGTGCTGAAGGGACAGCAATGGTCACCGATCCAAGTAAGAGCAGAGTGCACTGGTTGGGCCAGTCAGGCTTCTTTCTTGAAGAAAGTGAATCAAGGGGCTCAGATGGCATCTCAGGGAGAGAAACAAGGTGAGGAGCTATGGCAATTTTTCTTGTCTCTGAGGGAGTCCTTTGGAACATGATCAAGTGCACTTTTGGCAACCTTGAAAAGTCAAGTGTCTTTGCTCCACTCATTTCCTGACTGAACAAGAACAGAGCGAGCTGGGACAAGGAGAGGATGGGGTGGAGAGCACTGAGGTCTCCTAGTTCCTTCCTCCCTTCTCACCTCAAGGTCACGCCCTCTGTCTTTCACCAAAGGGGGAAAAGTGAGGAAGAAAACAAGCAAACCCTGGGATGCCTGGGTGGCTTGGTCGGTTAAGCGACTGCCTTGCACTTAGGTCATGGTCCCAGGGTCCTGGGATCAAGTCCCGCATTGGGCTACCTGCGCAGCGGGGAGTCTGCTTCTCCCTCTGCCTGCCGCTCTCCCTGCTTGTGTGTGTATGCGCTCTCTCTCTGACAAATAAATAAAAATCTAAAAAAAAAAAAAAAACCACAAAAACCCTACGTCTGTCTTGACCAAGACCTTTTGGGCTTTGGAGCCAGAGACAGCTCTTGTTCAGTTCTGTTCTGGATGATTTGAAGTGAATCAGTTATTTCATTTAGAAATTATCGTATCATCAACCTCATGGCAGGGGTGAGGTGGATGGGGATTGAATGAGACCATGTAGGTCATGTGCTGGGCACACAGTAGGCACTTAATAAGTGGCCGTCTTTACTCTTATTAGGGAGGGGGCCCGGGGAGAGGTAGAGAACGCATTAGCGAGTAAGGAAAGGGTTAAGGTATAGGCAGGGAGGGGTAGGGGGCCCCTGACTAGGCTCTGAAACTATTGCTGGCAGGCCTAAGTGCAAAGCCAGAGTGAACCAAGAGGTAAGGGAATGGACCAGACCACCTGGCCCCGGATGTTAGGGAGTACTTTTCTTTGGCGGCTACAGTGTAGTCACAGAAAATGACCAAACCTCAAAGAATTAAGGGGGTTATCAATAGTCCTTTTTTCTCAAACCAAGATAGCATAAGAATCTCAAGGCCCCAAGCTTCCCAGTCAGTTCTCAGTAAAAGACTGCCACCAAAAGCCCTCAGTGGCAACGCATTCGGGACCCCCTCACTCAAGAGAGCTTTTTCTTTCCTTTCTGCTCTCACCTTCACTTAACAAACTTTCACTTCACTTCACCCTTTTGTGTCCCCGAGATTCATTCTTTGACTCTGCGAGACAAGAACCCTGTAACATTAGGATAAGAACGCTAACTTTTCCTCACATAACAGGAATTAGTTCTCATTCACTGCTCTCAAAACCTCAGAGCTATAACTAGCACAATTTAGAAGGCGAAATTAGCAACTGAAAAGGCGAAGATAAGAGGGTTTTTTTTTTTTTTTCCGCTTTCTTTTTTAAAATTCCCCTTAACAGGGTGGTAGAATCGTTCGTCTTCGCCGAAATAGCTCAGTTGGGAGAGCGTTAGACTGAAGATCTAAAGGTCCCTGGTTCGATCCCGGGTTTCGGCAGGGCTTTTGCTGACACAGCCCAGGACAGAACAGGTTTCTGCTCCCTTGCGTAGTCTCTCCTGTGCCCCCGGGCGCGCCTGCACAGGGGCCCTGCGGCTCTCTTAGCGCGCATGCCCACCCCCCGCGCCTGCGCAGAGGCTTGGTGGATGGATGGGTGGGTGTCTATTAGCGCGTGTACCCTCTCCCGCGCGTGCGCAGCGGCAGTGCGGGTCTCTCAGCGCCTGTGCCCTCCTCCGCGCGTGCGCACCGGCCATGCGGATCTCAGCGCGCGCCCCCGGGAGGCGAAGGTGCTTCCATTCAGCACTTGGAGGGTAGTGCGGGGTTGGGCCTCGTCGCGAAGCCCCGAGGGGTGGAGAGCCCCTCACCCGGTCTGAGACCGCACACTAAGCTCCTTAGTGTTTGTTCCCAGTGCCGTCAGCTCGCAGGGCTGGCAAGTTTTTCTCGTAGGTGACAGACGTGCCGACAGCCTTAAAAACGTTTGTCTATACAGCCAGACCCGAAAGCCAGGGCCCCGTCGGCGGGTCAGAAATCTGGTGAAGGATGGTTCCCAGCCGGAGATGTGACTCATAAGCACGTGCCTCTGAAAGAGTGCTTGGAACCTGTTTTCTCACCGCTCCTTCAATAAACGGGGCGTGAACGATTGCTTAGGGCAAAACAATGCGCAGTCACCGCCGAGAGCATTACTGTCAGGACTGACGACGGGGGTGCGGTTTTCTTGGTTATGGGTCTACTGATGTTCCGGATATAAAAGTAAGTTTCAAGGAAAAAACATCCTAGGGCAAAGTAACGTTCCAAGAGAAAGGTCTGAGCTTGGAAGACTCCTTATTAGGCACTTTGCGCATGCACAAAGTCCACTGTGGGTAGGGTCAGGCCTGGGTGGTAATCGGTCCCCACCCAGCGCGGAACGCAGGTGTGCTTTGCCTAACCCCCAACCTGCTCATTATGAGTGGTGTGAACACGGTCTCAAATTTGTTTTTGGAGTTTTTAAAATAACCTCCGCCCGAACAGGGACTTGAACCCTGGACCCTCAGATTAAAAGTCTGATGCTCTACCGACTGAGCTATTCGGGCTCACGAAAGAGTTTCTTTCCTTGTCCTACCCGCAGTGAAATAGGCCACGTGGCCGCATTCTTTTCCTATTGAATTAACATCCTGAGTCCTTTTACTGATTGCCTGGGAGGTGAAACTGCAAAATCAAGATCCAGTGGGTGTTTGGCAGAATGGAATCCTTTTTCTCCCATCAGAGATAGAAAATAAAGAAAATATCTGCCTGCCTCACCTGCCTCGCATCCAGGCAGCAACACCCCCCCCCCGCCCCCCCGCAAGTGCTAGCATCCTAAAGGGAACATACCCAGAAGAATTCTCCAGAGTTAGGACCTCTGGGCGTGCTTCTGGGTGAGCAGCGGCATTTTTCATTCCAATGCTGGTCTTTGAAGAGCCCCGAAGCGTCTTGTGGGTGGCAAATTATGAATAATTGATTAGGTTTCCAATAATCTATTCAACAGGCGTTCATCGAGAGCCTGCCGCTCTCCAGCCTTTAAGCAAACTTAGGCTGCAAAGACCCAGTCCTGGTCCTCAGTGCGGCGACAAGACACGCTACCAGAAGCACCCAATCAATCGCCTTGACGGTGGGAAACTGGCTTTTGCAGCGTTACCCCGCCGACACCAGAAGTAAGAGGCAGTAAAGTCTTCCAGGGGGGTGGTGAAGCCTGAACTGAGCTGTGAAGGGTGACGGGGCCCCTGTAGACTTGGAAAGAATTCTGCCTGCCATAGTGTACCTTCAACACCTGTATAATGGGTCTATCTTTCCTCCTAGAATGTTTCTGCTGTGAGGCAGACGGTCCCTGTATTGTCCCCAATGCCTGGCCAGTGGCTGGCACAGATCAAGTTCTCAAAAACTGCTGTGGAATGAATGAGGGCCATGGATCAGGGAAAGCTTTTAGGGAAGGTTCGGAGAGCAGAATTGGTTCTTGGGAGTTTTTGTTTGGTAGAGAGAGGAGAACACTCATGTCAAGGTGAATGATTTCCACAGATGGAATAATTTTGCCCTGAAAAAGTTCTCTGCCACCCTATTGTGCCACCCCATTGTATTTATTTTATAGTGCTTATTGCCATCAGAAATTCTGTTTATTTGCTTATTTATAAACCATCTCTTCCCATCACTCTGTGATGTAAGTGCTGCTGGACAGTAATCTTGTTGGTGAGGACCTTGTCTTTCTTGTTGTCCTTATTTTTGTTTACTTTTACTTAAAAAAATGTTTGCATTCCCATAACCCCAGCGTTTAGAACAGTATTTGGCACATAGCAGGATCTTAAGAAATAACTGTTGACTAATTTCAAATGTTGAAGGTTTTTACTGCACAATGTGTCTCCCCTCCCCCCAAGGTAGTATAGTTTTATAGAGATCTTTTATTTCAGTTTTCCAAACCATCAATTCTGAATTTGTTGCTATACGTTGTGTCAGGCGAAAATATTAACATTCAGATTAAGACATCATTGCCATGTAACCATCCATCATACTGTCTCAGCCTAGGATCGCAAAACACGTGGAGGGCCCTAACTGTTCATCATTTTTAAGCCCTCAGGAAATTCAGAGAGCGTGACTCTTTTTTGGAAAAGCAGGGAAACCTTTACCAGAAGTGGGGTTCGAACCCACGAGGATATAAATCCATTGGATCTTAAGTCCAACGCCTTAACCACTCGGCCATTCTGGTACCCGCCAAGCCGGCGTTTACTTTTCGGTAACTTGACCAATACAGAGCCGCTACAGTTTCAAAACAAAAAAAATTTATCGCCAATGTCAAAGAACAATATCGGGGAGGAAAAAAAATCCCAGCAACATATCACGTCATGCTAATTTCTCCACCTCCACTCACCAGAGACTCTGGGGCCCCCTGAAAGCGACTGGGAAGACTCAGGTGGCGGGACTCCTACCACCTCGGCACGAGAGGACCCAACAGAGGGCTGGAATGAATTTCTTTCCTTTCCATAGCAGGGCAGTGGGATGCGGAATTTTAAATGGGTTACGGTGTTTTTGTTTTCCTTTTAGTGCTTTCTTTTCCTTACCAAAACAAAAGCGACTCTGGTGGGACTCGAACCCACAACCTTTGAATGCCTCCATCTGTCTAGAAGTCCAATGCGCTATCCATTGCGCCACAGAGCCAGGCACTCGCGCCCCCTCCGCGCCGCTTACATCAAGGCAGGCACGGCGCCTGGCCCCGGACACTGGCCCCGGGCCAACCCCGCCTTCCTTCTCGGAGAAGCGGTGGAGCCCGTGTGGCCAAGGAGAAGCGTGGGTGGGAGCTGCGCTGGCAAGTCTGAGATCCCTCTGGAAGTTTCTCCCCGTAAGCGATAGCCGGGCATCAACCCCCAGTCTCCGCCCACGTTGGAGAGAAAAAGGTCTTTGTGTGCAGTTCTTCCACCCTGGAGAGCTGCAGGAGCACGCGGTTCCATAGTGTAGCGGTTAGCACGTCTGCTTTACGCGCAGAAGGTCCTGGGTTCGAGCCCCAGTGGAACCACAAAGCCGTAATTATGCCTTTTAGGGATATTTTCAGGTTTCCCTTTGCCAGCCAGATCTTGAATTTTACTCGGGGAAGCGAGAGACGCTGCGGTTCCCCCCAGGGCTCGGCGCGGCGCCCGGCCGAGGCGGCTCCAGTCCGGTAGGCGCCCGCACAGATCCGCCGCCGAGGCTGCCCCCGTGTGGCGCCTCTGGGGAGGTGCAGGCGGTCAACACCGCGCCGGTCACAGCGCGCCTCTGCGCCTGCGCCTTCCCGACCGTCCCGCAGTACCCCCTGCGCGGGGGTCTGGGCTCACCTGCTCCTTCCTAAACCCTGCTCGGGCCATCTTTAAAAGTTGCTGCCACCACTCAGTCGGGGGGGGATATTCGGAGGGTCACCTCCCTCCCTTGTTGATTACTCCAACTCCACTGACCTCATTATTTATTGAAATTAAAATTCTTTTTGAAAAATTATATGCACTTGTTAGACCGTTCAGAGAGCCCCACATGTCTTACAGTAATACCCCCCTCTGACAAAGCTTTTCTCCTTAACCAAACGACCGGGGCTCCTCTGAGCCCTCCTCTCAACGAGGCCTGTCACCCTCGCCATGAGGACTTAAACAGCAACAGTAACAGGGTTTGTAGGCATCCCCAAGGTGACCCTAGGTCCACCTGAAGTGCTGCCTGAGAAAACTGAAGGCTGTCCAATTTACTGTTGGTTTCAGCCAACACCTGAACACTGGACGTGGTGTTTTCATCAGACCAAATCCGCTAGTGCCTTGACCTTGGACTTCCCAGCCTCCAAAACTGTGAGATAGATTTCTGCTGCTTATAAGCCACCCAGTCTGTGGTATTTTTGTTACATCAGCCTGAATGGACTAAGGCACTGGGTAAGCCATGAGATAGAACAATAGACCCCTGTAGAGGGATTTTATAAAGCACTCTGGAGGATTGGGATGTGTAAATCAGTCAACTTGGTAAAGTCACTTTTATTCCAAAAATTAAACTGATCCTGCCAGTCACATGGTCTCTAGCTTCAAGTTCCTTAATATCCTTTCCTTAGAACTTTCTAGAAGCTCTGCTGATGTAGGCTTCCTCTCTGGTACTACTTTGGCTCATCAAACCGCCTTCCTTCTGCTTTTCTGTGTCTCATAGGCTGGGTTCATTCCCTTCTCACCAAGAGCATAGCTTTAGGTAGTGTGGCAGACTATAGAAGTTCAGCCTGTAGACTCCAGATCCAAACTGTGGGTTCAATCCTGGTTCTGTCTCTCTTGGTTGTGTGACCATGGCACAGTACATAACCTGTCTGTGCTGTGTGACATTGGGTTAGTTGCTTAACTGTTCTGTGCCATGGTTTCCTCCATGGTAAAATGCGGATCAAGCTCAGCTTAAGATTCTGGAGAGGATTTAGTGAATTACTATATGTAAAGCATTTCAATGAAATGCACGTAGCAAACACTTAGCAAATGTCATCTATCATCGTGATTATTATTACTGATTTGGCAGATAAGTCTGGTAAGGTTAGGTAGAACAATATGGTTTTCTCATAGGGACATTTTTAGAAAATACTAAGTGCTAAGAACATCAGCTCTGCATTTACTGGCCTGTCTTCTAGGAAAGACATTAGGATTCGAAGCCAACAGCCAAGAATTCTTGAGATGTCTTTGGTGCACAAAGGTGGTTTTATTAAAGTACGGGGACAGGACCCGTGGGGCAGGAAGAGCTGCACTGGGGTAGAGAGGAGTGGCGCATTATATACTTTCAAGTTGGGAGGGGGTTAGGGATAGTGTAAGCCTCCCAGGTATTTTGGAAACAAGGTTTCCAGGACCCTGAGGGGGGCTTGCTATTGTTAGGAAAGGTCATTTGTTACTGTTTAGTAAAAACGCAGTCATGAGACCCTTCAGCTGTATATTGGTGGGTCATATGCTTGGGGGATGATTGCCAACATGTATCCGGGGTGGTGGGGGTAGAGATAAAGGAAGTTTCCAAAGAAAATTTTATACGTTAAAATAGACCTACAGGGTACTGGGGGTTGGGCTAAGATTGCCTTTTGCCCTTAGCAAAGTATCAACATCGAGGCAGTTGAGTTCCTAGAGGAATGTCATTGCCTGTTTCAAGGACCTGTCAGTGGGCTCTAGGGATTAAGGGAATATAGTACTTTTTCTTCTGCTTTTGTTTCTCACATTACAGCGGACAGCCTTCTCCCTCAGCCTCTTCACATTGTCTGTCCTCCATCTGCATCCTTGGGTCCAAGTTCCCCCTTTTCATGGGGGCACCGTTATATTGGATGTGGGCCCACCCTAATGGCTTCATGTTAATGTGATTATCTCTATCAAAACACTGTCTCCAAACAAGGTCGTGTTCTGAGGTCCTGGGGGTTAGGACTCCAGCAGATGAATTTGTGGGTGGGGGGACACTAGCCATGGCATAACTGTCCAAAACAGAACATGCAATGTTGCCCAGAAGCATGATCTGTCCTGTATTTCCCTTCTTGGCGAGCCATCTATTATTCCCCACCCCCCACCCCAGCCAGAGGCCCAGCATTTTCCCCATTTCCTCTTCCTTCTCCATCCATCCAGTACCAGAGCTGGCAGACTCTTTTCTCTGTACCCGTTTCTCCCCCACCCCACTGAGCTCAGGTCTCACTCATCTACTCCTTGGACTGCTGGGCGGCGACCCAGTCTCTAGGCCTGTGCTTCTCGAAGGGACCAGGGCAACTTCACTGAAATGCAAATGGCATATCCCCCTGCCCCTCTCCCCCACAAACCCTCTGGGACGTGGTCTCCCTCTCCAGCCTACCCCTCACCTCATTTGCTCCCTTCCCTGGTGCCTGGGGTGCTTTTCCTGGCGCTTCTCCCCACTCCTCACTATCATCTTTGAAGAGCAGCTACTCCCTGTCCTTGACAGTTTGGAGACACTTCTGTCTCCTTTCCTGACTTCAGCCTGGGCATCCATGCAGTTGGAAGCCCCTTCCAGTCCCCATTCAGTTCTGGGCATTAAGGCCCATGAGGTCAGAGCATCTTGTTCATTCTTCTGTCTTCCCCTCCCCTCAGCCCCAGGTACTGTTAAAGGAAAAGTTATTCTGACACTTAAAACAATAAGAAAGACTTTATTCAGGACCGTTGCCATAGGGGACAGAGACTGGGCTCAACTCTGAATACAGTAAAGTCAGCTGGAGACTTACAGCCACGGGGCAGTGTTGGGGGATGGAAAATTACTAAGCGGAGACATCAAGGTAAGGGGATCCTCAGTAAACCAACATCACAGGATTCTTGGTGAAGGTAGGCCAGGGTGATCCAATGTCAAAAGCAGGGAATGAGGAATTTGATGTGATATTGATCAAAGGTGATCAGATGCCAAGAGTGGGGAGATTCTTGTTAAACTGACTCCGCAGTATTGTTGGGAACACTGGGCTGAAGACAGGATGGGGGCGAGGTCCAGGTGTAGAGAAGAGGAGAGGGCTCTTGGGAGCCTGGCTCAAAGTCTGGCCAAAAGAGAGTCTTTGCCGCCACCCCACCCAGGTCCCATTCTGAAATAGGCACACGATTCGTGCCCATTGATTTTAATGTATTTCTGAGTAAAGGGCCTTTAGAATAGTGATGTTTTGAAATTTTGCTCTTCTTGTGAGTTAAATTTAATTCAGTTTCTTTTGTAATTTTTCCATCAAAGAGGAAACTCAGCTTTTTTGGAGTTTGTCTTTCAAGGTTTTCAAACAGAGTACCCACTTTGTAGAGGAATGTCTTGTCAGAAATCACTGTATTTCAAGCTTCAAAAAGACAGGGTTTAATTATAGGCCTGAAACTATCAGGTATTTTTTTCTAGAAGATATAGGAGAAAACCTTTGTGACTGTTTAGGCAAAAAGTTTCTTAAATAGGACTCAAAAAGTGTCTGTAAAATAAACAATAAATTTAACGTCATCAAAATGTAAAACAAAACAAAAACAAAAACACCTTCTACTTCTCTAAAAATACTCTTAAAGGAAAAGACATGTTATAGATTGGGAGAAAAATGTTTGCCAAAGGCTTATCTGATGAGTCTTGTATTCGGAATTTATTAGACCTCTGATGATGCAGTAATAAGAAAACAAACAACCTAATACAAAAATGGTCACAGATCTGAGCGGACATTTCACCGAAGACGACATACAAATGGCAGGCACGTGCATAAAGAGATGCTCAACATTATTAGTCATTCGGAAAATGCACAGTAAAATTACACTACACACTTGTTAGAATACATAAAACACAAAAACTTAATGCTAACAATACCAAGTGCTGACAAGGATGAGGAGTAACTAGAATTTCCAAATGTTGCTGGTGGGAACGCAAATGGTATCGCCACTTAGGAAAAGAATTTAGAAATTTCTGTAAAAGTAAACACACTTATTTTACCAGCAGTTCTACTTCTAGGTATTTATCCAAGAGATGCGAAGGCATACGTTTACACAAAGATCTATGTATAAATGTTTATAGCAACTTTAGTCATAATCTCCAAAAACTGGAACCAAACGAGATGTTCTTGACTGGTGAACAGGTAAGCAGATGGTGGTTCAGCCATGCCCTAGAAAACCATCAGCAGGAGAAAGGAATGAGCTTCTGATCCAAACATGGATCAGTTTCAAAAGTGTTCTGCTGAGTGAGAGAAGCCATTTAGAAAAGACTACATGATATAGGATTGCGTGTTTATGACTTTCTGGAAAAGGGAAAACTACAGGCACAAAAGACAGACCAGAGATAGCATTCTGGAAGCCTGTGCAGGACTTGACATGACACCCCAAGATTTCACATAGCTGAGGACGTTTTGCCTGTGGAGGAAGAGGGCAGTGTAGGTGCCAAGTGGCACGAGGGAGCTTTCTGAGGTGATGCAAACACTCAATATCTTGATTATAATGGCGGTTACATGACTTTATATCTTAGTCAAATCTCATAGAACTATACGCCTTAAAATGGCAAATATCACTGTATATAAATTATACTTCAGTGAACAAGAAGGGTCGGGTTTATAGCACAGTGCAGGCTCTCAATAATGAAAACAGAATCAACAAACACACACAAAAGTACTTGTTGGAGGAATGATGGAATGAAGTGGAAACTGGATTTCAGATTGAGATCGATGACAGTTTTTTAAAAAATTTTATTTATTTATTTGAGACAGAGAGAGAGCACAGGGGAGGGGCACAGGGAGAGGGAGAAGCAGACTCCCCACTGAGCAGGGAGCCCCACATGGGGATCGATCCCAGGACCCTGGGATCATGACCTGAGCCAAAGGCAGATGCTTAACCAACTCAGCCACCCAGGTGCTCCAAGATTGATAAGAATTGTATGATCGATATGAATTAATAACTTTGTGGATAATTTTTGTGATCTTTTTCCATTTCTTGGGGCATAGTTGGAAAATAGAAACTGGGTGACAAAAGAAGGCTAAATCACCGGTGTACCAAACCTCCAGATACAGAAGAGGTCTCTATGCAACTGTGTTTAAAGCGCAGAAGAAACGATTTTGGCGGGGGGTAATTTTTAAGAAGAAAAAATAACTTTGTGGGGGATAAGGAGAAGGAATATGGGTTCAAGGCATCAGAAGCTCTGCATCATTTTTCAGACTACCCATGGGAAACGAGAGGTGAGACAGACTAATTAAGTCAGAATTGTACAGTAACTTAGTGGCTGCCCAGTGTAACTTGAGCCCTAACAAGTCCCCCCTCATCCTGAGAGTCAGGGGTGAGTAGGGTGGCGCAGGCAGGGTAGAAAGTATAGAAAAAATCAGACACAAAGAAAAGATGGCGGGGAGCGAAGGGAGAGAGAAACAGTGGGAGCCTAGAGAGAAGGAAAAGAAGATGGAGAAGGAGGAGGAAGGCAGGAGGAGCAGGAGAAAGAAGAGAAAAAGGAGAAGAAAAGAGATGTCACCATCAAGGAGGTGTCCAGTGTCCTTCGTAGTTACTTCCGGTGTCACTCAGTACCACTTTTTAACCAACTTGCCTCTGAGCTTTCCGTCTTCAGGGCTGACCTCTCCTTGATAAGTTGTACATTAAATAGAATGTAAACAAGAACGGCTTTAAAATGGTTTGGTGCCAATTTTCATTTCTTTAGCCAAGGTGTGTGTTACTTTTGACTTCAGTTCTTTCTCAAAGGCACATGGTTTTACAAAGTGATTTTTTAGTGCCACGCGGTTGTTCAACACACAGGGCTGAGGAGGATGTGAAGGCCTTCGGTCCTTTGGGAGCCCCGCCATCCCCAGTTTTCGTGGACTTGCAGCCTGCTGGAATCTCCTGGTTTATTCAGACAGGCCCACGGACCCTCAGATTCAGAACATGGCCCCTTGTACTGTGGCTGCGTCCTGTCCCTGAGTGCTGACCTTGGGCAGAGGTAGTAAAGGGACCAGAGCAGGGTCTGAGGGTTTGGTAATCACAACTGATGGTGGCTTGGAGGCTTCACCAAGTCCAGAGAATATGTCCCTGCCCAGTGCTTTCCAAGCTCTTTTCACTGAAGCACCTGCTAATATCTATGTTTTATTTCCATCAAGACCACTATACTCAAGTACATATCCAAAATAAAGGTTTGAGGAAACAGTGCTTTTTTATTATTTGAAGAATTCTGTGCTTTTTTTATGCTCCCCAAGACTATTCAATTTCATTAGCAACAACAACAAAAAATGCATGTGCAGACCTACTGATGACAGCATACCCCTTAGAGTTTCTGCAGTGTGAAAAACACTGACCTGGAGCAGGGCGCCCAAAGGGTGGTGGGACACGGGCCGCTCACACCAGGACCACCCGGAGGTGGGTGTGGGCTCCTGGTATCTATGACAACTCTCGAATCTCCTGGAGATGGTGCCTGGGACTTGGCATTTTAACTACATGGCTAGGTGATTCTATGCCCACTGAGGTTTGGGAACCACTGGCCCGGGAGCACATAGGCTGCTCCTAGCAGAGGTTTCCAACTGATCTGTGGAGCCCTGAGGACTAGAGTGGATGCATCTCTGGGAGACATCTACAGACTGCTCCTCTTGATCTGTGTAAGAATTCATGAGCAAAGTCGCTTCTGCTTCTCAAAGAAAGATCTGAAATTTGGGGGAAAGAAAATGCATGTGATAGGGTTTTGAGGCTTCGTCTCCGGAAATAAAAATCTCAGTTAAGTTCTGTCTGCCAAAGGGAGAATCATGGAAAGGGAATGGCTCCCTTTAGTGGTAAGGAAACATTATAGAACATTTTGCTTCGTAGACACTGGTCTTAATTCAAGAGGAGCCTCTTTAGAAATACAGCTTCCCAATGTGGGAGATATTGAACAGTTTAGCAAAAACTTAAGTATCTTGTATTAGAATCCATATGTTGAAAGATTGTTGTCAAACAAGACATGCTTATCACCTTGAAGGAGAAGAAACATATTTTTTTGGAAATGGATTTTAATGTATACCACTTGTCTCTAAAGTACCATAGTCTTTTTTTAAAAAGATTTTATTTATTTATTTAGAGAGAGAGAGCGAGCTGGGGGAGGGGCAGGTGGAGAGAGAGAATTTCAAGCAGACTCCATGCTCAGTGTGGAGCTGGACATGGGGCTTGATCTCAGTATCCTGAGATCATGACCTGAGCTGAAATCAAGAGTTGGACACTTAACCGAGCCACCCAGGTGTCCCTAAAGTATCATAGTCTTAGGGTGCCTGGCTGGCTCAATTGGAAGAGTATGCAACTCTTGATCTCCGGGTTGTGAGTGCGAGTCCCAGGTTGGGTTTAGAGATTATTTAAATAAATAAATAAATCTTAAAAAAAAAAAAATACCATAGCCTTTTGGAACACTGTAATTAATTGTCTCTTACAAGTGCGTGTGTGTGTATGTGTGTGTTTTAAAATGAACTACATGTTATATATTTTTTCCTTGTACTAAGCAGTCTATATGTAGGCACACATATGTGTATATAAGGACACACATACACACATAAACATATTTTTTTGTCTTGTGAATCCTCAATTCATTATTTGCCTCTAGAAAGTAAAGACTAAATGCTAAAAAAAAGTATAAGGAAGGGAAGTTTAATTTTTAAGAAAAGCATGACTTTTTTGTAATAAAAAATGATTTGTAAGTGGGGTGGGAGGGTGAGCAAAATAGGTGAAGGGGATTAAGAGTTACAAACTTCCAGTTATAGAATGAATAAGTCACTGAGATGAAAAGTACAGTGTAGGGAGTACAGTCAATAATGTTGTAATAACTTCACATGGTGACAGGTGGTGAGTACACCTATTGTGATGAGCATTGTTTAATGTACAGAATTGTGGAATCACTATGCGGTGCACCTGAAACTAATATAACATTGTATATCAAACATACTTAAATAATAAAAATTTTTAAAAATGATTTACAAGGAAGAAAATATCTATTACTGTTGACAAAAGAGCATACTGGTTAGGGCAGAATGTGATTCTGTATTCTGGTTGAAAGAGAATTTTGAATTGTTCTTGCTGTTTTTGATACCTGAGTAATTAGATATAAAAGTCGAGGCTGAAGTCAAAAGTGAGGTGAATGATTTTAATTCTAGGCAGGAAGTCATAACCACCCCAAAGAAGCAAATGCAGATTTTCAAAAGATCTTCAAACTTTAGTAAAGCACCCACGAGTCCAGGATCTGGCATAAGCAAATGTGAATTTTGTTAATAATGTCTGCCTTGCTTTGCCATACTGATATGTTCCATCCTTCCATACCTGGGTCTTTCGGGCTACCTTTGACAGCTTGGGCTTGGACTCATCCCTCACATCCACCCACCGCAGCTTTTCTGTTCTACATCTGCTGTACTCTAGGAGGACACTTGGTGCCTTTGACTAATCCAATAAACCATCTGAAATTAATCCCCAGAGAGGTACCACTGAGAATAGATTCAGAGATGTCCCCTCTCCACCATCAGCACCAGCAGATTGTTATGGCCATCCAGAGATGTATCTAACTTCCGAAGTGGTGGCATTCTATCTAACTTGTCCCTTCTGAACCGTGTCTAACTAATGAAATATTCCAAGAGTAGGGATTTGGGGCCAGCACCAGGGGAGGAACACTAGGCAGTGATAGAGATGTTTGGGATTGGCTATATTTTGAAGCAGGTTTCCCTTGCTTGTGTTTTTCTCAGAATCAGGCTATGTACATGGCTCTTTACTTCCCTTACTTCACATATCCATCAGAGATTGCATGGGAAATAAGACTGGGATCAAAATGCAATCCAAATTTTAGTTGACTACCAATTTCATCTATTTTCTTGACAAAAAAATAGGCTGCCAGGAGACCAACTCAAATATGATATTGTTTTCTATACTCTTAAAGAGGAGGCCTAGATAATGAAAAGTCATTGATTCTTCAGCCTTTTCTTCTTAGGGATTCGAGTCAGGCACATTCTAGCAATGCACACAGGACAAGATTCCTTTCTCTGGATGGCTGCCTGGGAATGAATGGCTGGAAAATGATGTTGAAATTCTCAGAGGGGACTGAAACCTAAGGTATCTGCTCCTTCGTCAGATGAAGACATGCAAGCACCTTTCATAATACTACAATAGAGGAGAAATTTTTATGGATGAGCTTGTCTCAGACCCTAGGAAACCCAGTATGAGGCAGCAGGAGTAGTAAAACATGCACTTAGCTGAGGCTCAGATATCTCAGATCTATCCTTGCCTCTGCCATTCATTAGCTAAGGAAACTTTGATAAAGCATGAAACTTACCTGTTTCTGCAAGGGAAACCCAGAGCCTTCCATAGAAAGATGCAGCCCAGATCCTCCAAGGTTGGCAATGGAAACTGATTTCCACAAAGGGAGGGGTGCTGGACTTTCCAGCCTTGACTCCTGGTCCCTGGACATCATTTTACTAATTACTGGTTGGGCAACAACAGCCACAACTCAAGACCTGAAAGGAAACTTTCTCTCAGACCTTATTTCCTCACCTGTGAAGCTCACCTGAGGTGTTTGGGCAACGTAATCTTTAGAGTCTCATTAAGAGCTGACAGTTTATGAGACTCTGCATTGTCAACAATCTCACCAAGAGAAGACCTTTCAGAGAAGATCATTTGAGGTCACCCTTATTAGAGGACGCTGTTGAGGGACAAAGGGAGAACTTTGGTCTCAAGATGGCCTATTGATTGGGGTCTTCTACTGTGTTGTGAGAAAATACTTTTCAGTTCTGACTTTCAATCTGGATTTCATAGCATCTATTCTTTTTCGGAAGGTCCAAGTCTTCTCCTCAGTCTCTTCATGGATGACTTCATCTCCTGGTTCCTCAGGGTGTAGATCATGGGGTTCAGGACAGGGATGATGACCGTGAAGGTGATGGAGACAACTCTGTCCATGGGGAGGGCAGTGAAGGGCCGGGCGTAGACATAGATGCAGGGCACAAAGTGCAGAGTCACCACAGTGATGTGGGAGGTGCAGGTGGAGATGGCTTTCCTTCTGCCCTCTCCAGCATGAGACCTCAGCATCATCAAGATGACTGTGTAGGACACAAGGAGGAAGACAAACCATAGTGTAGAGATTAAACCATTGTTGGAAATCATTAAGATCTCAAGAGCAAATGTGTTGGTGCAGCTGAGTTTGAGGACCTGGGGGACGTCGCAGTAGAAGCCATCAACAACATTGGGCCCACAGAAGGGGAGGGGCAGCAACAGGGAAATCTGCACGATGGAGTGGACGAAGCCCCCCACCCAGGAGGCCACAATGAGGGCAGTGCATCGCCCCCTACTCATGATGGTCACGTAGTGCAGGGGCTTGGAGATGGCCATGTAGCGATCAAAGGCCATGACAGAGAGAGAAAAAATGTCTGCCCCACCGAGAAGGTGGAAGAAGAACATCTGAGTGATGCAACCATTGAAGGAGATGGTCTTTGTCCTTGACAGAAGGTCCACGAGGACCTTGGGAGCAGTGATGGAGGAGAAGCAGATGTCCAAGACTGAGAGATTGCGGAGCAGGAAGTACATGGGGGTGTGAAGGCGGGACTCACAGGTCACAGTGACCATGATGAGGAGGTTTCCCATCACAGTTGATGTGTACACCAAAAATAACAGAGGAAATAAGACCAAGCTCAGCTCTCGGGACTGGGTCAGTCCTTGAAAAATAAAATCTTTCACTCTGGTGTAATTTCCCTCCTCCATTGTATCATGTTTTTTCTTCTTCAACTACCTGGGGAGAAAATAGGAAAGAGAAGGTATTCATTAAAAACAAAAGGAATGTAAGTTATAGGACTGGCATGCCTCGGGGGTTACTTTTACAATTATTCTCCTTTTGGGCAGGGATGCCTACAATTCGGTAAGTTATCCCCAGTAGATAGAGTTTTTTTGAGTTCTTTCAGAGCAAACCAAAGAGTGGGTTTCCAGTGGAGGTAATTAATCGAAGCACCAAAATCAGCATGCTATTAAGTTCTTATTAAAATTTTTTACAGTTGCACAATTTTACATATTCTACATCCGTCTTGAAAAGCCACTAGGTGGTCTGAGAAGTGAGGAGAATAGTTTTGTTTTGCAATGAATACTCCTGTGTCTAATTGTTAGGAAGTGGGACACACACAGGGGAGAAGTATAAAACACAGTCTCATGGAAGCTTAGAGAGTCTTCTCTCATCACCTTCCACAGTAGACAATCCGTTTGGCATAGTCCGTGCAAAATTTCATGGTACTTATGATCAGCACTGAGTTAAAGCAAAAAAAACAGTTTCCAGTTTGCTTTCCCCCTAGGACAAACAGGTTTGCCGCAGCTAACACAATTTGAGCACATGCTGCTTTTGTTTTCAGTTTTTCTTCCCTTTGGTGTCTTGTTCTCTCTTGTCCCTGGGACTTGGCAAGTCATAGCTACAGTCCCTGCTCCACATAATGTTCTTGGCAAAGACTTTATTGCCCGGCCACCGGACAAACGGCTTTTTCTTGGGCTCCCTCCCTCCTCATCACCTACATTTGGATGGCACTTCCTCTCACCTCACTATTCATAAAAGCTTCAGTTTTGTGCAAAAAACACAGATTTTAGAACCAGTAGACCTGAATTTGAATACAGATTCTCTATTAATTGAGTAGGTGGCTCAGTGCATAGGTAACTCTGAGCTTCCGTTTATCATCAGTAAAAGTGGGTATAATCACGTTTGTGTCATAGGGTTGTGAAGTTTGAATGGATTTGTTTCATTTTTTAACCTGAGTTCCCACAGACACAGCTCCCCTCATATAGCAGCTGCTGACATTTTGCAGGGCCAGTCTTCTCTACAACAGTATTTGGGAGATGTTGTTACACTTTTCCTATAAAAGATAGTTTTTTGAAATAAATGCAACGATGATCAAATGTAGCATTTAAAAAGCAGGTATGTTCCATACAATGGAATATTATTCAGTTATAAAAAGAAATGAGCTATCAAGGCCATGGGAACAAAGAGGAGCCTTAAATGCATATTGCTAAGTGAAAGGAGGTCATCTGAAAAGGGACACACAGTATGACTCCAACTATATGACATTCTGGAAAAAGCAAACTGTAGTGGAAAGATTAGTGGTTGCCAAAGGCTGGAGTGTGCAGGTGGGGAGGGATGAGTAGGTGAAGCAGGGGGGATATTTAGGGATTTTTATTTTTAATCAGGGATACATGGCATTATGCATTTGTCAAATCCGCAAGAATGAACCCTAATGTAAACGAAGGACTTTAGTAAATAAATGTATCCATATTGGTTCCTCCATTGTTAATGAAAGTAGCACACATTAAGGCAAGATGTTAATAATGGGGAAACTGGTGGGGACAGGGAATGTGTGGAGCTCTCTGGATTTCCTGTGTAATCTTTCTGTAAGCCTAAACTGCTCTAAAAACTAAAATCTATTAATTTTTTTTTTAAAGATTTTATTTATTTATTTGAGAGAGAGAATGAGAAAGAGAGCACATGAGAGGGGGGAGGGTCAGAGGGAGAAGCAGACTCCCTGCCGAGCAGGGAGCCTGATGCGGGACTCGATCCTGGGACTCCAGGATCATGACCTGAGCCGAAGGCAGTCGCTTAACCAACTGAGCCACCCAGGCGCCCTAAAATCTATTAATTTTTTAAAAAGCAGATATACCAAAGGATAAAACAATTTAGAACATTTACATTTTGTAAGAAACATGTTTTTAAAAAAATTTTATTACCAAGCTTCATTTTCTATAAATCCTAATTCAATGCTTTCTGCCTGCTTTCCAGCCTGTTGTAAAGAGAACATTTACAATAAGTACTGCTTTCGGTGGTGACCATCATCTGCCTTTTGCTGTTTGGTCAACTGCTTACAATAAAATCGCCCTTTGCAGCTCTCTCTCTCTCTCTCTCTCTTTAATTTTATTATGTTATGTTAGTCACCATGCAATACATCATTAGTTTTTGATGTAGTGATCCACGATTCATTGTTTTTGTATAACACCCAGTGCTCCATGGAGCTCTCTCTCTCTCTCTTTTTTTTAATAAAGATTTTATTTATTTATTTGACAGAGAGAGACACAGCAAAAGAGGGAACACAAGCAGTAGGAGTGAGAGAGGGAGAAGCAGGCTTCCTGGGGAGCATGGAGCCCGATGCAGGGCTTGATCCCAGGACCCTGGGATCATGACCTGAGCCAAAGGCAGGCGCTTAACGACTGAGCCACCCAGGCGCCCCACAGATCTCTCTTAAAAAAACCCAGAAAAACAAAAAAAACAGCTTTGTTAAGGAGTAACTTGCATATAATAAACTGCACATATTTAAGGGGCACAGTTTGGTGCCTTTTGACAAATACATACACCTGTGAAGCCATCCCTACAATTAGGATGAGGAACATCTCCATCCATACCCAAAAGTCTCCCTGTGCTCTGGAGAACTGTGGAATACTTGGTACATAATGACTCTGCCCAAACCTCTGCACCGAGACAGGATCCAAGTTTATCAGGGCCTTGGGCAGCAGAGGGCTGCATCCTTAGGATGACCCCAGCCTCCCATCAAAACGCCGGCCTGAGAAAGCAGAGTTGCCAAGAGCATTTACTGCCTGTTCCAGCTGACATGGGGACATAGGCCCCTGACCTCCCTTTCTCAGAGCATTTACTAAAAAGGGCTTGCAATTGTGAATGTGGATTTGTTGCAACGCAGTTTTTCTCAAGGACCCGAGAAGTGCGCCTTTGAACGTGATCATCAGGAAGGACTGGCCTCTCTCTCCCTGTCTCTGCGCAAGGTCAGAATCCTGACTTCTGTAACTGTGGGCTAGCAGATGGAGCAGGACTAGTCTCAGGGACACTGGCCGGCCCCTTGCCATCTTTCCCTTCTCGGAGGCTCTCCTCTCACTCATTCCCCATCCAGAACGCCTGCCCAGTCACCGCTGTGCAAATGAAGATGAAACTCACTACCCCCCCCCTTACTGAATGCAGTCCTTGTCACCACTTCTTCCCTCCATATTCTGTCCACACTGAAGCCAGCCGGGTCCTGCCACGCAGTATGGGGTTCTCTGCTCTCACTCTACTCTCTCTCTCATTTTCTCATCAGAACACAACTGCTCCTTCACTTTCCCTTCTCTTTCCTTTGAAGCCCAAGCCACAAACGCTAATTTTCTAGGCTTTCTGCCAATGATCTATCGACCCATCAATAAGTCTCAGAGAATTTCATTGCCTTTAAACCTTTTCGTTTTTAAAAGGGCCAGACATTTTCTTCAAAGTTTTTTTTTTTAAATATCTTAAAAATAAAATGATCAGAACACATGCAGTGTTTTAGAGAATGCACGGAGGATTTTGTTTTGTTTTATTTTGAATTATGGCAAGGAGTAATGTGGTGCAGAGGAAAGACAGGAGCTTTGGTGCCTTCACGGAGCAGCGGTGCAATCTTTAAAGGCAGTGAACTCCAGGAGGGTCAGTCTGATCATCAGTGAAACGGGATCATTTGCTGCCCTAAGTCCTTCTGAAAGTAGCCGAGGTCTGCACAGCAGACAACAATATTAAGTGGACCCACTGATCTGGGTGATTTCTAGGCATTTGGAGCTTTAATGCTGAATGGTTTTATTTTATTTTATTTTATTTTATTTTTTTTTTTAAGATTTTATTTATTTATTTGAGACAGAGAGAATGAGAGAGAGAGGGAGAGAGAGCACATGAGAGGGGGGAGGGCCAGAGGGAGAAGCAGACTCCCCGCCGAGCAGGGAGCCCGATGCGGGACTCAATCCCGAGACTCGATCCCGAGACTCGATCCCGAGACTCGATCCCGAGACTCCAGGATCATGACCTGAGCCGAAGGCAGTCGCTTAACCAACTGAGTCACCCAGGCGCCCTGAATGGTTTTAAATAATATTGCCTCAATTACCGTATGACTAGTCAAGACTGTGGGTTCTGCCCAGTGCCTACCAACAGTTAAATCCCAATTAACCTCAAATTGTTTCTTGATATTTAACTGTAAGCGGACTGGTGGCACCAAGAGAAATTGCTGACATCAAGAATCCCCGGGGACAGGGCGCCTGGGTGGCTCAGTTGGTTAAGCGACTGCCTTCGGCTCAGGTCATGATCCTGGAGTCCCGGGATCGAGTCCCGCATCGGGCTCCCTGCTCAGCAGGGAGTCTGCTTCTCCCTCTGACCCTCCCCCCTCTCATGCTCTCTCTCTCTCAAATAAATAAATAAAATCTTTAAAAAAAAAAAAAAAGAATCCCCAGGGATAGTGGTTCGCAGCGGCCGAGAGAATGGACTTTGAAACCCACATGCATGAGGTTCTGTGCAGACATTAGTCACGAGCATGACCAAGTCAACAAAATCACCATGAAATACCCCAAACGGTGCTCTTTTGTGCACAAAAGGAATGTGCAACTAGGAACATTAAGCGTGGAGAATGGGAGGATGAAAGAGAGCGCCTGTGTGTGGATGTGAGTGTTTGGAACAAAAAAGAAGAAATAAAACAGACAAGTGTAGTTTATATGTTGGCTTTTGTTTTTGTTTTTGGCAAGAACAAACTCAAGGTCCCAAAGCGCTTCTTCAGAAACATGTCTGGGTAGAGCCGTCTTAATAAAGCAGGCTTACTGAGTGGCACAGAATCCCCAACCTGAGGGAACCCCCAGCCCCATTGTCCAGCACGCCTTGCCACCCCGTCTCTTTACAACTGATTTCCCTGTATGCTCTTCAAGTCACCTTCCTCATAGCGAAGAATGAGTTCCTCTTCTCGGCATTGCTAGAGTTTCTTTTCTTTTTTTTTTTAAGAAGAGGTAAATTTTATCATATATATATATATTTACAGATTTTATTTATTTGTCAGAGAGAGAGAGAGAGAGAGCACAAGCAGGGGGAGCTGCAGGCAGAGGGAGAAGCAGGCTCCCTGCTGAGCAAGGAGCCGGACTCAGGACTCGATCCCAGGACCCCGGGATCATGACCCGAGCCGAAGGCAGACACCCAACTGACTGAGCCACCCAGGTGTCCCATCACTACAGTTCCTAGCTTTAATATACATAACAATATACGGGAGCATTATTAATATTCAAAACACTTCTGTAATTCACAGTGGTATTTCAAAATTGGCTGTGCATGGGCCCATATGCACAGACACACAGTCAGACACATGAGCACACACCAAAGAGCCCTCATAACGAAATGACCTCATTAAAGGTCCCAAACTCGAATCCTTACCTGTTAGAAGTAGAGCTGACCTTAGGAGACACTAATTGTCAAGGAATATTCTCCTTTAAGGCAGACATGCATCTGAGGGTTTGTTGGGTCAGGATCTTCTTTCCTCCTGTCAGAGGCAAAGGGCAGCTCCAGGAATCGCCTCTGCGTGGTCCTACCACAGTCCTATCACGCTGCCCTGTGGTGCCCCTGACATGAGTACCGGTCTCTCAGCCCCAGACCCGACAGAAGCTCATCACAGGGAATTATTTTTGGATGTGACTACTAACTCGAGTAGCCAGACTTTCCTTTTGGGAGGAAGCTCCCTTGAGTGTTATTAAGAAGTCATGCAGTGAAGGACACCCTTTGTTGCAGTTTTCCTAATGTAGGGGAGGAGATGAATCTTCTTAGAGGCTTAGAGCCCAAATATCTTTGCCTGAAGGAAGGGCTCACAGGGGACCAACAGGAGTCGGCTTCCTTAAGAAGTAGGAACTCAGGGATAATGAACAGAACTCCCAGTAGAGTGTGTTTCAGACCATTCCTATTTTTGTTTTCTTTCTAGGCAGGTGGTTTGCTTGTTGTCCTATTGATATACATAATCAGAAGCATCATAAAGATTGGGAAATGCATTTTCTCCTTGTTTCCCACCAAACTTCTCATATGAAGAAGAAATATAAGCAGATAGAAGATATGTTGGTACTATTCATTCATCAAATATCTAATTGCAAAATACTTATTGAGCACCTACCATGTTCCAGGCCCTGTGATTCCAGAGGTCCTAAAAGCAGAGTTGCATGTTGCTTCTCATGTCATTCCCTCTATCATTTTTGAAACTTTGTCTATCACCATAGATCTACGGATGGTCTCACTTGGATATTGTATACCTCCAACCAAAAATATCTCTAGTAGGGGTGCCTGGCTGGTTGAGTTGGTAGAGCATGTGACTCTTGATCTTGGGGTTATGAGTTCAAGGCCCATGTTGGGTGTAGAGATTACTTAAAAATAAAATCTTTTCAAAAAGTTGATCAAAAAGTGCCTGGCTGGCTCATTTAGAGAAGTATGTGACTCTTGATTTCGGGGTCAGTGAGTTTGAGCCTTGTATTGGGTGTAGAGATTACTTAAATAAATAAACAAAACTTAAAAAATTAAAAAGTTGATCTGATCTGATCATTTGATCTGATCATTGTTATTAATATAATTGATCTGATCATTGTTATTAATAAATAAATTCTTCTCTTGCTGTAGCTGGCACTATTATTCTGCTTGTCACAAGGGCTCAGTAGCTCTGAATCACCTCTGACATTCCTCACTACGCATTTTTTTTTTGTCTTTTTTAACCTTGTCTGAGTAAATTAATTTTAGGTTTCTTTCATAATTTGCAATAGTTTTTCATAATTTACTTCTAGAACTTGTCAGTCTGGGCCCTGATATTCATACTCTTGTGCAATTCCCTCCTCTTGTGTGTGGACTGAATTTAGTGACTTGCTTCTAATGAATAGAGTACAGCAAAAGTGATGTCACTTCCAAGATTAGGCTATAAAAGACTGACTTCTATCTTGCTGTGCACTCTTTTGCCTTGATTGCTCACTCTGATGAAGTAAGCTGCCATGTTGGAGAGGTCCACATGGCAAGGACCTGAGGATGACCTCCAGCTAACAGCCAGCAGGGAACTGAAGCCCTCATTCCAATAGCTCATGGTTCTGGCCAGCAATTATGTGAGTGAGCTTGGAAGCAGATCCTTCCCCACTTGAACCTCAAAATGAGACAACAGCTCCCAGCTGACAAATGGACTATCACCTTGTGAGAGACCCTGAAGCAGAAGATTTAGCTAAGCCATGCCTGGTTCCCAACACACACAAAGTGTGTTGTTTTAAGCCACTAAATTTTGGGGTAATATGTTAGGGAGTAAGAGATTACTAACATAGTACTGAACTGATAGTCTTCTTTATTGAATAAGAGGTATGTTGACAACTCTTTCAAACTTGAGAGTGTTTGAGTTTTTTGAGTTTCTCAAAGAAGTCCAGAATGGCAGGATCACTCTTAAACCAGCTGGTTTGCATATATAGATATGTTTACTTGCTTAAAAAATACTGTGGGAATTTAAAATCAACTTTCCTTATATAGAAAAAAAGTCACAGGTGGTAGGACCAAGCATATGTGACCTGTGTAGGATAAGCTAGAATCAGTTTATATATAATAGTTACCTAAGGACATGTCTCTACCTGGAGAAAAATATAGATTAATCCAAGTAATTATGTGATGTCTTATTGCAAGAGAAGTAAATTTAATGGTGTTTTCATGAATTCAATTGCTTTTCCTCACTGTGTTTGATTGGGTTGTTTTGCATGTGTAAACAGTCCAAGGGGAACTTCATGGGCACCTTTTGCTGTGTTGCTGTCATTTGTAGTGTTTTGTACTGGGGAACATAAACTCTGATTGTACACATCTTTGGTTACTTAAAATTCCACCTAGTCATAAAGGTTTTGCTCAAGGTAAAGTCAACATAGAGGTAGTGAAAAAAAAAAGAGGTGTCGTTGTGAAAAGTACATAAGATCTGGAGAACAATGATACCAGAGCAAAGAAGGAACCAGGTAGTAAATGGTCATCTGGTCTGCAGATGGATCTAGCCTAAGATAAATTTATGTCTTTATTAGAATTTTAATGCTTGGGGAAGCATGTCTAATACTAGAAAATGATGCAGAACATTTTTAAGTGGTGGGAATAGAACAGAACATAGGAAAGGACAATCAACAAAGAAAAAGACACTCATCTCTGTAGGAGCTTCTAAATGCATTAATAAATGTTTGTTTACAATTAGCCAATGGTAACTATGGGGATAAGTGAGGGTTGTCTGCTCTAAGAGTGTCTACCAGGCCAATCTTCTTTGGGCACTTAACTCCAGTGTTTTAGCTTTTGGGACCTGACATTCTAGTTTACTGTCACTCTAATTCCCAGGATTACCTTTACCTTGATCACCTTCCCCTTCCTTTAAATTAAATTTCCTTTCCCCAAATTTCCTCCATTTCGATTTGGTTCCCTGTGCATTCCAAGGGTCCAGCAGTACTTCCAGCACATCTACACATAAAGAGAATCCTTTTAGAGGCAAAGTCCTAGTCTTTGTAATCTAATCCAATTGTGATTTCTTAGCAATGAATCATAGGTGTGGAAGAGATCATTAGAGTTCACCATTTTTCTTTTTTTTCTTTTTTAAAGATTTTATTTATTTTTTGACAGAGAGAGAGATAGCGAGAGAGGGAACACAGCAGGGGGAGTGGGAGAGGAGAAGCAGGCTTCCCTCTGAGCAGGGAGTCTGATACGGGGCTCGATCCCAGGGATCATGACCTGAGCCGAAGGCAGACGCTTAAAGACTGAGCCACCTAGTTGCCGCTAGAGTTCACCATTTTTCATGTTCTCCTTTTCTTTTTGGGAATAGAGCTGGATTACATTCTCCAGATTCCCTTGCAGTGAATTGGGATTATATGACCAAGGGCTGGTCAATGGAATATGATCAGAAGTGGAACATACCACTCTCAGGACTGGCCAGTAATGACCCTTCCCCTCTCCCCATAATTCTTCACATTTTTTTTTTAAGATTTATTTATTTATTTGAGAGAGAGAGAGCGTGAGCACATGCGTGCCCGTGAGTTGGGGGGTGGGCAGAGGGAGAGGGAAAGGGGAAGCAGACTCCCTGCTGAGCATGGAGCCCCATCCGGGGCTCAATCTAATGACCTTGAGATCACAACCCCAGTTGTGACACCCAACAGAGCCACCCAGGTGTCCCCTGCCCCCCATGATTCTTAATCCTCTCTCCCTTTCTCCATTTGCTGGATGAATGGAGAGACTCTAAGGACCTTGAGAAATGTGGAGCCCAAGGTGGAAGAAGCCTGTCTCTCTAAATGATGCATAGAACAGCTCTTTCTAAAGACCAGCATTGGCCTGTGCCATGAGCAGGAAATAAATTTTTACTCCAGTTATTAAGTACTTTGGTTTTGGGTGTTTTTGTCACAGCATTTGATCTACTCTGATTAACAGACGAGTGCCAGTTTCTGTGGCTTGAGCTTTATCATGAAGAGAGACATAGTCTAGTAAAATCAATAGATCCCAGCAAAACATCAGTTGGATTGTTAGGTAAGCCTTCTCCTAGTATCCTTCTCATCCCTTTCATTACAAAAACTAGCAAATTCCCAGATTCAATGATTAAGCCTTCATGCTTTTTATGACCTTTCATGCTTTCTTTACCTTTTAATGGATTGAGTGGAAAGTGTTAAAAAGTTGTGGGGTCCCTATGTGCAGAAACAATAAGGAATTTGGGCCTGACTCATCTGTGATTGGGATAATCCTACTACACAATGAGGAGTCAGTTTCTTCACCAGGCGAGTGCTTAGCATCTCTATTTGCTTAAGCCTTGCACAGATCCAGGTGAGCTGTCCACAGCCTTTACCCATCACTGTTATTTCTTGATGAATGCTTCCACTCACAGCATTACCTCCTTCTGTCTAGGAGGCAACCATGGCTTTGAAGTGATCTGAGGATCCTCTCTTCCCAACAGAAATCATGGATTTGCATTGCTTAAGGGACCACAAATGGAGTTCTGCTTTCCTGACTTTCCTTGTAAATGTCAATTAGTGGTATTCACTCCATGAGTGCACTACTTCATGGCTACATTGAGCTCACTGTTGCACAAACGTGGCATATTCTTACGCCAGTCTCTCCATTTGTAATACTGATTTCTTTTCTTGGGTTGTGTTTCTCTGTCTCTTCCCCTTGAAAAGGTCTACTCACTGTAAAATGCCTTTTGAAGCTCTCAGGTAAAGTGCCTACAATATTTCCACAGCACTTTGCTCATATCTTCATTAGAGCATTTTGGAGTGTGGCTCTAGGAAAGTGACTATATTTAATCTTTTTGCAGCAGTCTGAATCCTAGCACTGTCAAGCACATACTGCGTGTTCTGTAAAATATTTGCCGAATGAATAATTAAAAGTGAGTAATGGAAGAGATGAATGAGCTTCACCTTAAAGCAGTGTCACCTAGAGGTCCTTAGCACATACTATACTACAGAACCAACGTCTTTGAGGACTCCATGATATCCATAGATGCCCCTTTGTTTTGGGCATTAAAGTGATGTCTTCCCATTTTGAGAAAGTGAAGTTTAATGTCTATATTTACCTTTGGGAGCTATCTCATTCTTACAGAATTTAAATCCTTTCTGAATGCCCTAGTCGTTTCTTTAGTCTCCTCATGGCTGACTTCATTTCCTGATTCCTCAGGGTGTAAATCATTGGATTGAGCAAAGGGGAAATGACAGTGAAGGTGACAGAAATGGCTTTATCTGTGGGGAGGGCGGTGAAGGGCCGGGCATAGACATAGATGCAGGGCACAAAGTGCAGGGTCACCACAGTGATGTGGGAGGTGCAGGTGGAGATGGCTTTCCTCCTGCCCTCCCCAGCATGAGACCTCAGTATCGCCAGGATGACTGTATAAGATATGAGGAGAAAGAAGAAAATAAACCAACTGACCAATCCATTATTGGATATCATCAGGAGCTCCAGAGTGAAAGTGTCAGTGCAGGCAAGTTTGAGGACCTGCGGGACATCACAGTAGAAAGTGTCAAGAACATTTGGTCCACAGAAGGGGAGGGGCAGCAACAGGGAAATCTGCACAATGGAGTGGACAAAGCCCCCCACCCAGGAGGCCAGCACCAGGCTAGTACATCGTCCCTTACTCATGATAGTCATATAGTGAAGGGGTCTTGAGATAGCTACATAGCGATCAAAGGCCATCACAGAGAGAGAAAAAACATCTGCTCCTCCCAGAAGGTGGAAGAAGAACATTTGAGTGACACAGCCATTGAAGGAGATGGTTTTTCTCTTTGATAGAAGATCCACCAGGACCTTGGGAGCAGTGATGGAGGAAAAGCAGATGTCCAAGATAGAGAGATTGCGGAGCAGGAAGTACATGGGGGTATGAAGGTGAGCCTCACAGGTCACAGTGACCATGATGAGGAAGTTTCCCAGCAGAGTTGTCATATACACTATAAACAAGAAGACAAACAAGACCCAACTCAGCTCTTGAGACTGGGTAATACCCAGGAAAATAAATTCTTTCACTCTGGTATAATTTTCTTGATCCATTGGGTCACAGATCCTTTTCAAGTATATGTTTGGAAGAAATAAAGCAGTTAAAGAATGTGTTATAAAATCTTCTGTTGTCTTTTCTGTCTCTTGACTCTCGGTGTTTGCCTTGGGAGGAAGCTCTTTTCCTATGCATGTGCTGTGCCTGCAATTCAGCATGCCACCAGTAGGTGGAAGATAATCCCGGCTTTTACTCCGTCATCCAAGCAGATAGGTTCTATCACTGTGGTCACTGAAATACAGGTGACAGGTCTGTGAAGTTATTCAGTTGTGCTTTTACTATACAATCTGAGACTTAAAATAATAAATAATAAGCATAAATTCAACTACATGAAGAATTTTGTTCACAAACTACATCATCACAAGAATTAAAAGATAACCCACAAATGGGATGAGGTATTTACAATATGTATATCTGAAAAAATATTCCTGTCTAGAATATATAAAAAAGTCTACAAATCAGGAACAAAAGAGATGACAACTGGATCAGAAAATGGCAAAGATATGAACCAAAACTGCACAAACGAGAATATCCAAGTGCCAGTCCAACTTTGTTAGTTGTCAGGGAAATGCAAATTAAAATGACAGGAAGAAACTAGTACATACACACCAACATGGCCAAATTGAAAATGATGAGAAATACCAAGTGCTGGTGAAGATGCGGAACAACTGGAATGCTCATACACTGCAGAAGGGCGTGTGAGATTGGCAGAGCCTCTTTACTGTCAGGTTATATCTGCTCATGCTGTATATGTATCGCAGAGGATGGGGTTACATACATAAGAACATCCATTCCACTCCTAGGAAATCTGTACACCTGTCACATGCACCACAAGACATATCCTACAATGTTCATAGCAGTGCTATTTGTAATTGCTTCAAATTGGAGAAAGACACAAATGCCCATCAACAGCAGGAAAGACAAACAGTGTTAAATCCACCCAGTACATCAGTGGGAATGATCTACACTATGTTTAATAGTATAAATGAACCTCATTGTGTTTATAACATGGAACCAGATAATCCAGGCACAAAGGAGTGCACACTCTTATTTTGTTCATAAAAAGGATAAAAAGATACAAAACTAAAGGAAACACGAAGGAAGTTTCTGAGGTGCTGATGATGTTGTTTCTTGATCAGGGTGATTGTTACAAAGGCGTATCAGCGTGTGTGAAAATTCATCAGGCCATACACTCATGGGCATTTTCTGTAGGTATGTATATTATACTTCCATAAAATGTAAAACATAGTGAACATGTGGTGATTGTACCATTTTATTTATTTATTTATTTTTAAAGATTTTATTTATTTATTTGACAGAGAGAGAGCACAAGTAGGCAGAGTGGCAGGCTGATGGAGAGGAAGAAGCAGGCTCTCCGCTGGGCAGGGACCCGGATGTGGGGCTCGATCCGAAGACCCCAGGATCATGACCTGAGCCAAAGGCAGCCGCTCAATGGACTGAGCCACCTAGGCACCCCTGATTGTAACATTTTAATCTCATGCCTAAAGAATGAATTTCACTGAGGGGCGCCTGGGTAACTCAGTCGTTAAGCATCTGCCTTCAGCTCAGGTCATGATCCTGGGATCCTGGGATCGAGCCCCGCATCGGGCTCCCTGCTCCGCGGGAAGCCTGCTTCTCCCTCTCCCACTCCCCCTGCTTGTGTTCCCTCTCTCGCTGTCTCTCTCTCTGTCAAATAAATAAATAAAATCTTAAAAAAAAAATGAATTTCATTGAAAGTGATACTAAATGGACTACGCACTTTCCTAATGGTTACTTTTAGAGTTTTGTAGTTGTAGCCTTTACCGGCTACAACCTGAGGGTTGCCTTCTTATTTTTCTCCCACTTAGGGACTTTAGGTCCTCCCAAATCCTAGTATTACACAGGCTGCCCTGTAGTTCTTTCTCTGATTCTAGTTTTAATTTCTGCATTTCTTCTTCATTTTGCTCTTCTAATCTTAGGGGAAAAAAAATCCTTAACTGACCACAGTTCCCCATGTAGTACTCTCCTTTTTGCTCCCACAGAAACATAAGAGCTCCCTCCCCCATTCCATTATCATTTGTTCCGATTCAGCTCAGTCTCCCTGTCTTGGGGGTTTAGTAACGACATGGAGTGACAAGAATAAATGTTCAGAATAATGACTGCAGGAGACTTCAGGTCTCCAGGATGCCAGAATTAAGAATTCCCCTTACTATACTCACCAGGGCTAGAAGGTGGAGAAATTATTTCAGAAGGAGTCTGATCAGTCTGGACTGCAGAAACATATTTTAATGGATGACAGCAATCCACTCTAGAATCTTTCTTTTGGATACTGGAATAATAAGTTAATAGGTTTCAAATCTTTTGCTCTGGACACTACTGCAATAAACCTAAGAGCTTTCTGTGCCTCCTGTCCTCTCCCTCCCTCCCTTCTTTCTCTCTCCTGTTTTTCTTTACCATATCCATTTTCTTTATTTTCTTCCTTATATACCATTTCCATGACTGTATTAGGATTCTCCTAATCTATACATATATACATATAATATGTACAGTCGGTTAAGCGTCTGTCTTTGGCTCAGGTCATGATCCTAGGGTCCTGGAATCGAGTCCCGCACCAGGCTCCCTGCTCAGCAGGGAGTCTGCTTCTCCCTCTCCCCTCTGCCTTTTGCTCCCCTTGCTTGTGCTCTCTCTCTCCTTCTCTGTAAAATAAATAAAATCTTTAAAAAATTAAAAAAATATATAATATGTACATATAATGCACCTATATGTGCCTACATATATATACATAAAAGGAGAATTATTATGAGGAATTGGCTCACACTATTATGGAGGCTGAGAAGTCCCACGACCTGCTGTCTGTAAGCTGCAGACCCAGGAAAGCTATTGGTATGATTCAGTCCTAGTCTGATGGCCTGAAAACCAGGGATGCATTGGTATAAATGATGAGATGAGATGTTCTTACTCAGGCAGTGAGGCAGGAGAAAGGGGGTGAATTTCTCCTTCCTCCACCTTTTGTCAAACTATTCAGGTCCCCAAAGGATTGGAGGACATCCACCTTAAATGGGAAGGGCAATTCATCTGCTCTACCAAGTCCACTGATTCAAAAACTAATCTCATCTGGAAACACTCTCACAGATACACCCAGAAATAATGTTTAATCTGGGCACCCTGTGGCCAGTCAAGCTGACATATAAAATTAACCATTATGATGACAGTCAGGTGATTTTTTTTTTGAAAGAGAGAGAGTGCACGCGCCAGTGATGGGGGGAGGGGCAGAGGGAGAGGAAGAGGGAGAATCTTAAGCAGGCTCCATGACCAGTGGGGAGACTGACTTGGGGCTCGATCTCATGACTCTGAGATCATGACCTGAGCTGAAATCAAGAGTCAGATGCTTAATCAACTGAGTCACCCAGGTGCCCCTGAGATGAGAAAGCTAACTCAAATATCTGTCCTTTCTTTAAGAAGTTTACAGTGAAAACAGTAAGTGTTGTAGCTTGTGCAATTAGTGGAAAGAAAAGTGAGGAGCTACAAAATCATGGGGGATATACACAAAAACCAGTCCCATTTGGGCACATAATGTTTGTAAACCCTGTCTACGAGCCCAGATGAATAGTATCGTCCCACATGTGCATTTGGGATACACATGCGTGGATCATCTGGAACACTTATGCAATTTTGGTTTTACCACTTCTTAGCTGGTATGACCTTTGGCAAGTTACTTACTAACAGTACCAAACTCATGATAAATATATAAGATTCATAGGGCATGGCTTAGAGTTATTTCTTAGCCTGCACCATTATAATTTATCTGCAACATGATGATAATAAGACTTACCTCATATGCAGGATCCTTCTAAGAAGGAGGTGAGATTATATATCTGTTTTGGAAGCATCTGAGGAAGCTGATTCTGCCAGCCAGCTGCTCCGTGTCACTAGCCTCAGGTGAGAGCTTCTTCCTTACACAAGCCAGGTTCATCTGTGGGGGCTTATCTGAGAGTGGCTCATCTTGCTATTGGTTCAAAGCCCTCTTCCCAACATTTCGGGGTAAATTTAAAATGCAGTCTCTCCTTTACTAATATTTTTATTTTTTGCTTAGGGATTTGAGCTAAGACTATGTTCAAAAAAATTCAGAATATTGTATTACATATCTGCTTAAAAACACGAATACATTTATTTTTGTATGCAGTTGTAAATATAGGTATTCATATAAAAAAACAACCCTCAATTGGAAAGGTAGTCATCTGGGTATCAGGCTCTGCGGGCAGGGAAGGGTGGTGGGGGTGGTGGGGGTCCATGCAACTATCAAGATGTCAGCATTATGGAAATGTGAGCAGAATAATGGAGCTCTCCTCTGCTTATTTTTTGCAATAAAGATTTTATTTATTTATTTGACAGAGAGAGAGTGAGTACAAGCAGGGGGAGAGGCAGAGGGAGAAGCAGGCTTTCCGCTGAGCGGGGAGCTTGATGTGGGACTCGATCCCAGGACCCTGAGATCATGACCTGAGCCAAAGGCAGATGCTTAACCGACTGAGCCACCCAGGCACCCCTAGTTTTTGCTTGCTTTCAGTGAACATTTATAGAGTGATTCTTAGGTGCTATACCAACTGCTTCATTTTATCGCTTCCCAAACCTATTGTACCTACATGAAATAGATATTATCTTGATTTCGCAAATGAGGACCCCGAGGCACAGAAAGATTAAGTAACTTGCTCAATGTCTCACAGCTGGTAGAACCATGTCTCAGACTCAGATCCGTCTTATTGCAGACTGATACTCTTAACTACGGCAACTATACCTCTCCCCAGTGGTGATCAGCCCTTCCCAGAAAATGCTGCAAAGAAAAAAATAATCTTTCCAAATCAGGTGAAAGTAGTATGTGGGTGTTAGGAGACTACACACCCTCTCCTATGAGAGGATATCAGAGTGACTGGGAGAGAAAAAAAGCAGAGTTTGGAAGAGCACACTTTGCAGTCTTCAGAGGTACCTTCACCAAGAGCCTGCATCAACGGCATGCAGAGCTCCCGTGCAAGGTGCAGAAATGAGATCTGAGTAGCATCACCTTAAATATAAACTCCTCTTGGAAATAATGGATCTGGTGGGTTCCAATGGATGCTGTCTTTTTACAAAGAGTGGGAAGAATACTTTGAGAGTATTAGATTATGCATATTGCATTGAAACACATGCATAATACAGAGTGGGGGATTGGACGAAGAAATACAATCTTATGTGTCTTTGCAAGGTCAAGATACAGAGCACAAGAATTTCTTAGGAGTCACCTCAAAGGAGACCATCCTTAGGAAACAAGCTTGTCAAACATGTTGGACAGAGCCTGCAGCCAGAGGGTTACCCTCGTACCCCAGCTTCCCACTGGGCAAATGCTGCTCCATTCTATACATGGAGTTAAATCATGTCACGGTTTTCTTTTTCCCAATATTGAAAAACCTCTACTCTTAATTGAATCCCTAAAAGTTTCAGGAGCATGATTCATATTCATTAGCACATGAGGGCATAGATAAGCTAGCCATCAAAACACTTTACTCAAAGCCCTCAAACTTCCATTCCCAGCCAAGAAACATAGACTGAATTCAGGAATTGTTGTCTTGGTGCTGTTTTTCTGCGGCAGTCACCCTCCTGAGAACTGGGATATTAGCACCCTCTCAATTACCTTCAACACTTTGAACCTCAACATCCCAAGTAGAATATATCACATCCCTGAAGCCAACTCACCTTCTTCTTGTATTCTGTAAGCCCCACTTCCCCTTTTCCTAAGAGTGAAAAAACACCACTTTTATTTGCTTCATTAGAATTTTGGTTTCAACAGGAACATCCTATAGACTTGTAGTATTTCTGAAAAATCAACACTGACAGCTTTTCAGTTTCAGAAGTTCATGCATACCAACACTAACTGACTTCAGTCTCCAAGTGGGAAATTGATCCTCTTATGATGCTCCAACTGCACCTTAGAAGAAGTAGGTTCTGGGGAAATTCAATGTTTAATGGAAAGCCTACCTCAAGGTTAGTGATTTTGTTATTTTCTTCCTTCAGATGGGAAAAGACAGCCTCAGGGAATCACATCCTACTGACTCTTCATCTTTGCCTTACAGTTTCTCAGCCCCTTCGATTAGTCCCTCAGCCACAAGCCCAATATAGGAATGAGCAAAGGGAATATTGTCGGTTACGAACAAGAAAGCTAAGTGGCCAATTCAGTGGCGTTCCTGTGGGAGTCATTAAAATGTCACCAAGCCCTTCCCCTCTCTCTCCCTCATCTCTTCTCTGCCCCCATCTCACACATAATGCAGAGGTCCCAGTGCACATTCAGGACATACCCTTTTCTCTGGAAGAAGCATATGAGACAGTGCATTATCCTCTTTGGCTCAAGAAGACAGCCTAGTGTTCAATCACACCAAGGACTGTGCAGTCTTCCTCCTGACCAAAATCAATTTGCTTGCAATCAGCTGGGAAATGAAACTTAAGTAAAAGAGTACCAATGGAAAAATTAAAGCCCTGTGGCTACTGTTAGGGCAGCTTTCAGAGACTGGACAGTGTAGATTTATCTGTGCAGTTTCTGTTTAATACAATATGTACATTGTCCCTATACAATTACTTTATTTTTTATTTTATTTTTTAAAAGCGATTTTATTTTTAAGTAATCTCTACACCCAACGTGGGGCTCAAACTCACAAGGCCAAGATCAAGAGTCACATGCTCTGCCAACTGAGACAGCCAGGCGCACCCCCCGCACCTCATGCATGATCTTTAATCTACTACATGTCCGAGATCCATAGTTCACTTAAAACCTAGGGAGGTAGCACAGTGACAGCTCATCAGTTTAATTACTTCAGCATTATTTTAAGTTATTTGGTTTGTGGGTACCCAGAGATGTTTATCATTAATGTGTTTTATTCTGGGAACAATGCAAGAAAGGGTAATTTGAGAGCTATATGTATGCCCAGAGTTTGTTAAATTTTCTATGGTTCTCAGCAGCAGAACTTAAAAAATAATAAAAACCGATTTAAATGGAAAAAATGCAGTCGAAGTTGTGATTTGATGTCATCCAGATAAATGATGTATGTTTGTGTAATCAGATGCTATTGCCTTCCCTTTCCTCTGAATTATCGATCAGGTTATGTTGTACATTTTTTTTTTTAAAGATTTTATTTATTTATTTGACAGAGAGAGACACAGCGAGAGAGGGAACACAAGCAGGGGGAGTGGGAGAGGGAGAAGCAGGCTCCCCGCAGAGCAGGGAGCCTGATGCGGGACTTGATCCCAGGACCCTGGGATCATGACCTGAGCTGAAGGCAGTCGCTTAACCAACTGAGCCACCCAGGCACCCTATGTTGTACATTTTGAATGGTTTGAAGAGGTGTCAGGAGCAATGGTGTGGCAGAGATTTCTGGGTTCTTGCCCTTTGTGATTATGCTTCTGCAATACAATGATTCAGACCCCATATATCTTTGGTGCTATCCAATTCTGACATAGCGATAACAATCTGATTTGAATGAGTGATCAGAGATACGAAGGAAAGGAAAGGACACATTTGCATGAAATGGACTATAAAATGGCTCGCGGTATGCATCTTTTATAGGCAGTTTCATAAAGAAAAGCCTAAAGACTGTTGAGAGCAAAGCTACCTGAGTAATGTAGCAGGACTCTATGAATGGTGACTTGACAAGTATGAATTATTCTTAGAATTTTCATGCTAGAGGAGGTAGATTAATATTGTAAAGTTAGAATTGATTGATCAAAGTGACAGGAAATGGCAAACAATTGAGCCAGTTAGTTAATGAATGCTTATGGGGCCAGCCCAGATCCGATGACAGCTATAACTGAAGTCTGTCCTCAACACTCATCACCCTTTGGCTAACTCTCCTTGGGCTCTTTTCTATCCTACTGACTCTGACTTTTTGGTCTGGTCCCTTATCTCACTCTCAAAGCTAGGGTTTATCTTTGACTCATTATCTTCTTTTGATCTGAGACTCTCCTGCATTGTAACTTATCAGCTGCAGGGTGTCTCTTTAAGTTGTGTAAATAGCAAGCAAACCTATTGTCATGACAGGAAGCTAGAAGTTTTAAGATGATAGATGCTTTGAATTCAATGTACATTCCTTTGCTTTTTATCCCATCAGGGTTTTTTCCCCCTCATAATAAGGTATGGGCCATAAAAGAGAAGAGTGTAACAGGCTAACGGGGAATTGAATGTGTGTTAGGCAGAGCAGTAAGGGTGACATTGAGAATGACATTTGCCTTGCACTGAACATTTACTATCTGCTGGGCATTGTATGTTTCACACATACCATCTCGTTTTAACCTTACCAGTGACTCCATGAGATGCATAGTATAAGTATCTTTGTATAGTGAACTATAACCTGTGGAGAGACAAAATAATTTGCTCAAGATCACACAGCTGATGGATAACAGAGATGGGATTTGGATCCAGGTCACAGTGCTTTACTTTTTACTTTACTTCTTCATGAGGCTTTCTCAGATAAAACACTAGCCTGTACCACCTATTCCCAAACACCAACAGATTGAAAAACAGACTGATTAGAATTTTACCTTCTTTAACACCTCCTCTCTTCCTCTCTGGTGGGAATAATGTAAATCCTCAATGGTGAAGCTAATCTGAGACTGGAAAATCGGTTCTTCAAATAATAAAAATGGGTTGCTCTTCATTTAGGATCCCTGAGGTTCTGCCTTTGTCTAAATTTATCTTGAGAATGTGAATCTGGCACGTCTGGTTCTACATGAGATAAATCCTTTTAGGACATATGCGGAAATCTTCCTAAGATTCTTCATTACTGATAGGAATCAGGGAGGACAACCATTATGTACTGTTGAGGTTCTCAAAAGGTCATGAGCCCATATGGAGTTTAACTGGGCTGAGAAAATTTCTTAATCTGTGATAGGCCATATGTGCCCATTATGTGTACTACAGAAGCACTGATCATAAGATCTTTTCTAGAACAGGATTGTAGTTTGGTATAGACAGTTCTGGTAATGTAGCACATTACATTCATATGGAGGAAGAACAATAGATTAGGTGTCTGAAGACTTATCTCTGCAATTTACTTGATATAAAATCTTGAGCAAATCACTCCTATCTAGGCTTCTATTAACTTACCTCTTGAAAAAGGATTCGATCAATCTCTTTACCTGCCATATAGTTCTCCTCAAATAGAAATACATCAATCAGTGCAATCCTATAATACTAGTTACTTCATGCTCACCAGAAGCTTGAGTTATTAGTAACCTATTAACTTAAATAGGAAAATAAATTGTTATCTAGTAAGTATAGTTGGTTTATTGACAATATATTCAAGTATATAAATATGACTCTATAGAAAAAATAATGGAAGGAGTTCTTGGTGATGAAGAGGTTGGAGATTCTTACACTATTCCATCACAAAAGGCATGAGTCTTCTCCTCAGTCTCCTCATGGCTGACTTCATCTCCTGGTTCCTCAGGGTGTAGATCAAAGGGTTCAACAGTGGGGATATGACAGTGAAGGTGACAGAAATGGCTTTATCTGTGGGGAGGGCAGTGAAGGGCCGGGCGTAGACACAGATGCAGGGCACAAAGTGCAGAGTCACCACAGTGATGTGGGAGGTGCAGGTGGAGATGGCTTTCCTCCTGCCCTCCCCAGCATGAGACCTCAGCATCATTAAGATGACTGTGTAGGATGCAAGCAGGAAAATAAACCACAGGGTACTGACTAAGCCATTGTTGGAAATCATCAGGAGCTCAAGTGCAAAGGTGTCTGTACAGGCGAGTTTGAGGACCTGTGGGACATCGCAGTAGAAAGTGTCAAGAACATTGGGCCCACAGAAGGGGAGGGGCAGCAACAGGGAAATCTGCACGATGGAGTGGACGAAGCCCCCCACCCAGGAGGCCACAATGAGGGCAGTGCATCGCCCCCTACTCATGATGGTCACGTAGTGCAGGGGCTTGGAGATGGCCATGTAGCGATCAAAGGCCATGACAGAGAGAGAAAAAATGTCTGCCCCACCGAGAAGGTGGAAGAAGAACATCTGAGTGATGCAACCATTGAAGGAGATGGTCTTTATCTTTGACAGAAGGTCCATGAGAACCTTGGGAGCAGTGATGGAGGAGAAGCAGATGTCCAAGACTGAGAGATTGCGGAGCAGGAAGTACATGGGGATGTGAAGGCGGGACTCACAGGTCACAGTGACCATGATAAGGAGGTTTCCCAGAAGAGTTATCATGTACACCAAACACAAAGAAAGAAATAAGACCAAGCTCAGGTCTTGGGACTGAGTAAGTCCCAGAAATATAAATTCTTTTACCCTTGTGCTATTTCCCAACTCCATTGAATCATGTTTCCTCTTCTTTGTGTAGCTTGGGAAAAATGAAAAATATTATTTCAGAAAGTGTTCACTGTCCCTTAATATATCAGACAGAGTCAGGTATTAGGCTGAGAACTAGTGAGTGGCTATTACCACATAAAAAGCTGTTCTGAGGTTATTGCTAATGTGTAGAAAATGACATCTGATTAACACAAGCATGCATCTAATTATTCTTCTGTAAATTATAAATATTTTAGATGTGGCATAAAAATAATGTTCTATGAATAGAAGTTCTAAGCATTCAAGATAAACAGGTGGATGTTAAATATTCAGAAAGGGACTATTTGGGCACGAGGGATATAAAAATGGGGTCAGTTTGATGTATGGGTAAGGCAAGGTGTCTGGCTGGTTTCTTTTCCAGATTGCATGCTCCATTTAAATGGTCTAAGAACCTGTATCTGCAAAATGGTTCCCTTTGGACTGAACTCCACAGAAACACTCTTCCCTTTTTTAAATTGCAAATTTAATTCTATGAAAAATGAGAAAATTTTAAAGCCATGAAGGTCTTCTTTATTTCTACCTTTATTTACACTACTTTAAGTACCAAAACCCCCGTTGAATAGCTCCTCAGCTGTGGAAATGAAAGTGTAATTCAGATCTTCTCTTCTGTTCATCGTTCTAGTTTGTTTCTTAAAAATTATTATTATTTTCTATAGAGCTATCATCGACATACAATAGACTCACGTATTTGAAGTGCGTACTTTGATGTTTGGATATAACCATATACCCATGACATCACTATATTTAAGATTGTTACCATATCTGTCAACCCAAAAGTGTTCTTGTGACCCTTTGTTATATGTCCCCTTTGCCCTTCTTTCTTCAGGCAACCACTGATCTGCTTTCTGTTACTATACGTTAGTTCGTATTTTCTAGAATTTTCCATACATTGAGTCTTATAATATAGACTTCCTTTTTGTTTTTTTTTCACTTATAAAATTTATCCTTGTGTTTGTGTGCACCAATATTTTCTTCCTTTTAATTGATGGATAGACCACAGTTTGTTTATCCATTCACTTGTTGATGAACATTTGGGTTACTTTTAGGTTTTTGGCTATTACACATTAAAGCTGCTATAAATACTCTTTTACAAGTCTTTGTGTGGACATATGTTTTCACTTGTCTTGGATAAGTACCCAGGAGTAGAGTGGCTGTAACTCTTAAAATTCAATAATAAGAAAACAAACAGCCCAAATGAAACACAAAGGGATAAATGGTTTGAACAGACACTTCAACAAGAAGATATAGGGATAGCAAATAAAAATGTGAGAAGATGCTCAGCATCGTTTATCACTGGGGAAATGTAAATTAAAACCACTGCACATACCTATTAGAATAGCTAACATAAAAAAGACAGATGTATCAAGAATAGGTGAAAATGGAGCGGGATTGGAACTCTGGTGGAAACAGAAAATGGCATGGCCACGTGTGAAAACAGCTTGGCTGTTTCTTACAAGGTGAAATGTATATTTCCTGTATAATCTTACTGCTTTTGAATTCCTTTCTTTTTCTTTCACGAATCCTTGAAATGGGCCTTAATTTCTTTCTTTGCAGTTAATTCCCTTTTTCTTACCATATTTAGAAACAAAAGAAAGGTGAACTTACTTTTTTGGGTATGTTTTTCAGTTCCAGGGAAGATATTTCTTTTCACTTAGCTCAGGTTCCCATCAAGCTTTATTTCACCTGTGTGTAATTTTGTCCAAAGTCTATTTAATATGGAAAGCTGAAAAAGCTACTAAGAGGTATTGTAGCATACAGAGGATACCTGGGGGACTCTGGCACGACCTGCCTGTTCAAATCCCAGCCGGGCACTTAGTGTGAACGTGGGCAAGTTACTTCACCCCTTTGGCCTGAGTCTCTGCATCAGTATTTGGAAACAATAGCATCCCCCTCATATGATTTTTGTGAGGATTAAATGAACTAATCTCTGCAAAACCATCAATACTTAGAGCATTGTCTAATCTATAATCCATAATAAATGTGATTATGTGTGTGTTTCCTTAAAGAAAAACTCTGGGTCAGTTGCTTTCACAGACACACAGTCTTTAAATAGTCCAACAATCTCGTGGAGGGACTGCATATTTCCCAGAACATGTATTCTAAAACAGCTTCATCAGAACATACTGTTTTGAGGAAAATAGGAGATGTTTTTCTTTCAGTGGCAATAAGAATGACCCAGAGCATGGTGACAGTGTATGGTAGCAAGAAGAGAGCTTGCCTGATTTGGCTCCTTGTCTGACATCATCTTAGCAAACCAGAAAAGTCCAGTGCATGGTCTCTGCAGTGAGAGCTTTCTGGGCTCAAGTCCTGGCTTTGTAATTTGGGCAAGTGAGAGACTTCACTTCTGCATCCATGGAATGGGGCTTATAATACTCATCTCACAGGGAAGCTATGAGGATTAGGTGAACTAACATATGCAGAAGTGTCAGCCTACAGGCTGCTTATCTGTTATGATTAGTACTATGTTGGGTAACCTTAATACTGGAGGATCATCAGTAAATGGGGGTGTGTTGAACTAAATGATAGCTCGGCTATCAATCCTGACTAGTTTAAAGAGAGAGCAAATGATCATCAGAAAACACCAACTCAGTAGTTACTGAGGAGATCCAACCTAGTTATGAAAGTCTTCCACAGGGACCCGCATGTAAATAATAGGCAATCTACGCAAAAGGGGAGAAGGTACCTCAAACCCCAAGTCAGGCCTATTAGCAATACGTCCCATAAATTCAGACAACATCTTTCAGCTTCTCCATCTTTCTCCTATTTTTATTTTTATTTTTCTAGAAAAAGATTTATTTATTTATTTATTTGAGAGAGAGTGAGTGCGCCTGAGTTGGGGGAGGGGCAGAGGGAGAGGATCTCAAGCCAACTCTCCACTGAGCATGGAGCCTGACACGGGGCTCGATCCTACGACCCTGAGATCATGACCTGAGCTGAAATCAGAATCAGATGCTCAACTGACTGAGCCACCCAGGCGCCTCCATTGTTTTCCTATTTTTAATCCATCCACTTGTTTAGCAAATCTTGAGGGAAATCGGCAGATTTCTAGGTTATTTGAGAGAAAGAAATACAACCAGTGGGAAAAGAATCGAAATCAAATAGTAATATGGGGAGTGATGAAGATAGATGAGCTGCATGTAAGAAAAGGATGATTTTTCACTAGAAGCTATGAGAAATCTGCATGGAGAGGGTGACATTTATGTTTGGGACACACAGGAATGGAGAAAAGGGGAGCTCTGGCTTTAGGGGACAACTGGAATATATTAAAGTTGCTTGTAGGGGCGCCTGGGTGGCTCAGTGGGTTAAGCATCTGCCTTCAGCTCAGGTCATGATCTCTGGGTCCTGGGATCGAGCCCCACAGTTGGGCCCCATGCTCAGCATGGAATCTGCTTGAGATTCTCTCTCTCCTTCTCCTTCTGTTCCCTCCCCGCTTGCGTGCATGCGCTACCTTTCTCTCTCAATTAAATAAAATCTTTTTTAAAAAGTTGCTTGTAAGTGGGAAGATTGGCTGGAAAGAAAGGATGCAAACATGAAGGCATGGAGAGAAAATCATTGCTTGAAAATTTTTATTTTTTGGTAAACCTGAGGAACGGTATGTGTTTATTGTGTAATTCTTTCAACTTTTCTGAAGGTTTAAAATATTTTATTTTTCCCTCTACTTTTAAATTTAACAAAAGAAATACCTCTACAGATTTCAGGCTGAGGACATCCATGTAGGGGAAACAGGGCCTGCAAAAAATCTCTTTGTGCGGGCGCCTGGGTGGCTCAGTTGTTAAGCGACTGCCTTCCCCTTGGGTCATGATCCCAGGGTCCTGGGATCGAGTCCCAAATCGGGCTCCCTACTCTGCGAGGAGCCTGCTTCTCCCTCTCCCACTCCCCCTGTTTGTGTTCCCTCTCTCGCTGTGTCTCTCTGTCAAATAAATAATAAAAACAAAATCTTAAAAAAAAAATATCTCTGTGCAATTTAGGGGGTCTCAGAAAACAAAAATGCCTTTTCTCTAATTCCAAACTGAACTTATTTCTGTCTCTCATTTCACAATGCCTTTTTTGGTCAATATTCCTTATCTGTGCTCTTACTGAAGGTGAACCTTGGAATACAGCACCTTGTGTACACATCACATTTTTAGTCAAAATGTATTTGTGAATATTAATGATTCTATCTAGATTTCAGTTTTTCTCACTCTTATTTGTCACTCTTATACATGGACATCCAGACACTACACACACTCGTGTAGAGTTATACTTCTTACCTGAAGTCTCCAGCCTTCTTCCCAGGACTCCATCTGAGGTTATGTTCACGTGAACCTTGGGAACTATCCAGCTTCAGGAAATTGTGTCACACACCCCTCAGAAGGCCGGTGATTTCAGTGGCTCCTCTTCTGTCTTTACATGGAAAAGGAAAGACTCAGGGAATAGTATTTTCTTGTCTCTCCCATGCTGATTCACAGCGTCCCATCCTATTTACCAATTCTTTAATCCCAAACCTGGTGTGAGAATTATCAGAGGGATTCTAGTTGGATGTGGCTATGGAAAATGTCTGCTGATGGTGAGGTTGTTTCTGAGGGAGTAATTAGGACATAATTAGGCCCACATACTTAGGAACACCCATTTTTGTCAGGGCCTAAAATTGTCTAGCAGTGAGAAAGTTTCTGTCCTTGGCCAAACTCTACTCAGGTTCCCCTGAATTTTTTAAGCAGGACTCAATGTTTGGACCTCGGTGTCTGTCTCTGCATTGTCCAATTTTAGCAACAATCCTGCTAAGTCAGGTTAGCTAGAATCCCCCACCCTCATATCTGATCACCTCAGCAAGAATCCCATTAGGTTGGTTTAGCCAGAGCCTCCTGCACCCCCACCCCTTTAACTCTGGTGTTTCCTCTTAGTAATTTTCCTGTTGGAAAATAAATATCGATTCTTAGGGATTCTGAACAACTTCCTCAGGCAGTGTCACCCATGCAGGGGGAGTTCTGACATGTGACACAAAAGTATTAGAAGGACCGTTGGACCTGACGGGGTTATTAGGCGGGAGTGAAGGAACTGAGGATGGGTTGATGACCAAGTTCTCAGAGGATACACAAGTAGCCAGGAAATCCACACTGGATCTACCAGCAAATCCTACTTGCTTGACCTTTAGAATTTTTTCAATTCTCACCAACTCCACCCTTACTACCTTAAGTCATGTCTTTATTATTTCTAATACAGCAGCCTCTTAATTGGTCTCCCTGCTTTTGTCCTTACTCCTCTTCAGTCTACTCATCATAGTGGCCCCTGTGATTCTGTTAAAACATCATTATTCTGCTTTTCGACACCCTCTATCTTACCTAATGGGAAAGTCAAAATCCTTACAATGATCTAAAAGGTCCTAGTGCCAGGTCCTGTGGCCCCATGATCTCTCTGACCTCAACTGCTACCTCGTTCCTCCTTGCTTCTTCTCATTTAGTTACAAAGTCCTCCTTGCTGTTTCTTGGGTGATCTGGGCAAATCCCCAACTCAGGGCCTTTGAACATCTGATTTGTGGACTGAGATTTGTATCATGATGTGAACATTTTTTTAGTTTCAAAAATTTTAAGATCTAAGATTTAAAAAAACATCCAGCAGCTATACATAGCATAATAAGTAAACAAATACATACTGAGTTGATATGTTAAATAATGTGTTCCATTTCATTCCAACCTTTTTGATGTCTATGCATGGTCTAAAGCAGCTTCATAGGTTTCTGTCAATTTTAGGGAGTCATGTTATCAGATAGTAAAAATGAATCAGTTGTTTTTTTCAACCATATCCTCCAATGATTTGAGTTGCAGAAATGATTGAGAAACATTGTGAAATCATTGAGTTGTCTTAATTCAACAATTTTTAATGCATTGTTACTATATTCCACTTGATGCTGATGCTGGGGATACAATAATAAGTAAAGCATAAACCTAGTGGGAGAGATAGGAAGAAAGGGAAGAAGGAATAGAAGGATCCTGAGTTCTGTGCTAGAGCTAAGCACCAGGTGCTGAGGGAATGCAGCGCTCGTGTGGCCAACAGGCCTGCAGTTCAGAGAAGGTCAGGGTAAGGACCTTGCACGAGCTCACAGAACTCATAATTGGTGAGGTGCATAATCTTACTCAAGCTGGGCTAACTTCAAGGAACCTGCTCTCAACCACTGGGATGTGGGCTTTAGATGGAACAATCTTCTGGTAATAGTTACCTTATTAATATTATAGAGGCAGAAGATGAACTTAATTTGGATGTGTTTACTCCAGAAAGATGTGATTACTTTATGAAAGACCTTGTAGAATTTTGATGCCCAAGATACATTATGTCTCTAGTATGTGTCTCAGCTCCCTTCCTGGTAACAGGGCAGGAATGTAGTGGGAATCTCTGAGTATATACATAGGTGTTTTTTTAATCGAAAATTTAATTTAGACAATTGTAGATTTACATGCTGTTGTAGGAAATAACAGAGATCCTACCTTAATGCAGTCTCCCCCTGTGATCATTTACATATATCAAAACATTGAGTTGTACATCTTAAGTATGTGCCATTTTTGTCAATTGTTGATCTTAAAAACCAAAGGAGCTATTTTTTCCCCCCCAGCAAAATGAGTTTATTTAGGAATAGCAGAGGAATTACAATTTGGGACAAGCAAATTATGGTGAACAATAAGTGAGTCTGGAGAACAGAGGGGAGGGGCTTGCTTTTATAGGGGAGAGGAGAAAGCTGGGAGGGGCTGTTTTTATTGAATTCTCATTGGCTGGGCTGTTGCAGGGCAAGGAGAAATTCTTCCCTTCTCCTGTTGGGGTATATAAAGTTTCTTTGTGGAAATATCAGCAAGGTGGTTTCCCTTAGCCTTCAGGAAATCAAGTTTGGGATACCCAGGGATCTTGATAATGGCTAAAGCAGCTGGTAAGAGTATGGCACCTAATAATTCCTGAACATAAAGACCATTTAAAATTTTGTCCCTGTTGGAAGTGAGGAGGTCTCACTGTTTCCATAGCACCCCAAAGTTATGAGTTAGTCCAAAGGCTTACCTACTATTAACATAGATATGTGCAGTTTTGTCCTTGGTTAAAAATGCAGGCCTGAGCAAAAGCACACAATTCAGCCCACTGGGCCAAGATAGCCAACAGCAAAGGTACCACCTAAATGATTTCAAAAGGAGTTGCAAGAGCATACCCAGCATAATGTTTACCATTTTCATCTCTTAAATAAGAACCATTGGTAAACCGTGAAAAATCAGTGTTATCCAAAGGAGTTTCCTGTAAGTCATCACAAGGGGTCAGGAGAAGATCTGTCAGTGTCAAATAGTCATGAGGAGTATCATCTGTAGAGGAGGGAAGAAGGGTGGCAGGGTTAAAATTATTACAGCAAGAATTATATGAGGCATGGTTAGCAAGAGGATTTCAGAGGAGGTGAGACAACTGGCTGAATGGTGTTGAGTGTGAGGGGCACTCAGAAGGGCTTCAACTCCATGGGGTACAAAGATTTTTGAGAGAGGATCCCATGACTGTCTCTTCAGTGGTCTTGACTAAAAGGGTGTTGGTAGGAACGGCTCTGAGGCAAGGGGGGGTGTCCTTGTGCCATTGGCTCTAGCTGTTGGCTATAATACCCCATGGGTCAATGGTGGGGCCCATGTTTTGGGTGAGTACCCCAAGGGTGTTCCCTTCCTCTTCAAATACAAAAAGGAAAAAGAGAAGTTGATAATTGGGATGTCCAAGAGCAGGGGGATTTACCAAACTTTCCTTTAGGGCTTTAAAAGCTAAGTTATCTTGATCTTCCCCAATAACAGGGTCAGGTTTATTGTTTTTTTAATAAAATATATAGGGGTAAAATAAAAGAAAATATAGAGGGGTTGGGCCATAAGGGATTTTGGAATCCAATTTTGACAGCAACCAGCCAGCTCAAGAAAACTTTGCGATTTGTGCTTAGTTTTGGGTTTGAGGAAGTTCAAGATGCCATGGAGCTTATTTGGATCTAAAGGTAGCCCTTGTTGTGAAATCAGGTACCCCAAATATCAAACCTGAGTGCAAGAAAATTGCAATTTCTCCCTGGAGACTTTGCATCCCACTAAGGCTAAAAGTTTTAACAGGTGGATGCCGTCTTGCTGTGAAGAGGCCTCAGAAAGGGAGCAGAGAACTAAGTCATCTACGTGTTGTAATAAAGTAGAGCCTCCAGGTAACTTATATCATCCAAATTCGCTTTTAAGGTTTGGGATAAGTAGGAAATACTTTAGGTAAAACCCTGAGGCATTACTGTCCAGGCATATTGCTTTCTTTCCCAAGTGGAGGCAGATACTCACTGGCCTTATCCACAGGGATACTAAAGAAGGTGCTACATAAATCAACCACAGTGAATATTTGCTTTCAGCGGGGATGCAGGCTAACAAAATATTGGGGCTGGAACAACAGGATGGTGAGGGATAACAATATTGTTCATGGGTCAGAGATCCTGGACAAATCTCTATCCGCGGGCTTTGGGTTTCTTCACAGGCACCGTAGGAATATCACAAGGACTAGAGCAGGGGATCAGGAGGTCCTGAGCCTTATGATCTTTTTTTATGGACTTGATGCCTTGAAAATCCTCTTAATTTATAGGGTATTGATTAATTTTGGGGAGAAAAGAATGAGTATCTCTTAGGAGGCCTAACCAAAAGTGGACAAGCTTAGAGATAGGAAGGTGTTGAGGTTTGAGACTCCCTATGTTTGAACCGTTTCAGATGGTTCAGAACCCCAGGGCACGGGTTTAATAACAACGGTGTGGAGCACCAAGAGTGTGGCTCTGACGTCAATAAGGTATAGGGAGAGATTCATTCCCAATCTGGAGAGTTGTTTCTCCACGCTGGTTAAGAGCAGAACTGGGGAAAGTCCCTGTATTTCCTCGGAGTCCTGTGAGAGGGTGTGCGAAAGGCTGGTCAGAGGGCTGAAGACACTTGGGGCACTTTTGTAGCAATCTTTCTTGCAACATCCTGGATTTTCCCAATAATAGCAGAGGCCAGGAGGGGGTTTTATTTAGGGGACTCCCATTTGTTGGAACTGAAAACTAAGGATCTTAGTGGTCTTGTAGTTGAATTCTCAATGGTGCAGGTGAGCTAGCTGATTTGCTAAATTAACTAAATCTGGAGTGGATACAGTTTCCCATTCTATCCTGCTCCTTTTAACTAGGAGGGAAAGATGCCAGTTCAGCCTATTACTAAGCACAGAGTTGAAGGCTACCTGAATGGATTCTACATCCATAGGAAGGCCAGAATTTTCCTTAAAAACAATTTGTAGTTGATGGTAATCATCATGCACAGGTTCCCTGGGTTTCTGAGTGCAAGCCTGAATCTTAAATCAACAGGTTTTGGGAAAGCCTAGGGGTTGCCAGGGGGAGTCATTTAGTGATTGGTGAGCCTGATCACATAACAAGACAGGGGATTGGCCTCTTGTTTTGCAGTCCTGGAGCCTTCAGGATCATCCCAATTAGCTGCTTTCATCTAGCGTTGGCTTGGCCTTCTCCAGGGAGCATGTGAGCTAGCTGGTACAAATCAGAAACCTAGTTGGTAAGTTTGAACCACTGTTAAATTCCTTGGCAGATCTATGAGGATCTTCAGTAACTCTAGGAAAATCTTTGGCCATGGCTCATAGTTCATCCTTAGTCCAGGAAAGATAGGAAATTATAGGCTTACCATTTAGGATCCTCAGAAGGTCTAATTTTATCTTACTTTATTTTATTCTTTTAAAAGATTTTATTTATTTTAGAGAGAGAGCAAGCACAAGTGGGGTAAGGAGCAGAGGGAGAAGGACAAGCAGACTCTGCACTGAGCTCAGAGCCCAACACGTGACTGGCTCCATCCCACGGCCCTGAGATCATGACCTGAGCCAAAATCTCGAGTCACTAAACTGACTGAGCCACCCAGGCCTCCCTAGAGGGCCTAAGTTTAAAGGAACAGGTTCCAATGGGTTCAGAGGAGGAGGACATGGGGAGAGGTTTGGAAAAAATGGGAAGTTCAGTGAGAGAAGTGGAGCGAATGAAAGTGAGGATGGAGATAAAGAGGAGGGGGGAGGGGAGAACAAGTCCTCAAAAGCTTGTCTTTTTTCAGTTGCTTGTTTGCCTCAGTTAACTTGGAAATGGCATTTTGTAGAGAGGTGATTTTAGAGTCCTGAACACACTTGGAAGCCTCAAGATACCAGCTGAAATAGGCATCCCATTCCGTTTGTGTTTTTTAAAGGTGTGGTCTTCTAAGAAAAGCAAATTTGGGGAGATCAAAAGTGCCCCCTAATGGCCATTGGAGTTCTAAATTAATTTTGGTTAAGTTGGTCCAATTAATTTAAAATACTCTTGAGGAAGGACCGTAGTTTTTAAACATAAAACCAGACTGGGCCCCAGAAGGAGGACCTTCCTGAGAGAATTTAGCAGATTCAGATGCTGTTACTCAAAACCAGAGATTCAGTAAACAGAAGAGTAGTCACCAGAAGGGGTAGTGCCTTCCCAACAACATAAAACCAGATTCCAAATACAGTTGTGGAGCTCAGCTTGAAGGAGGGAACCCTGATCTGAGAGGAGACTTGGAACCCAAAGGGAAAAGATGACTCAGGGAAGCAGAGAGTGCAAGGGGCTCAAGTGGGTGCCTCACACGCTTCTAGGGGCCATTACTTACTTAGGGGTTCATCTCCTTCAGGTTCCTTTGTGGTCACCATGTAATACTGACCTTAAAAACCAAAAGGGCCAGTTATTTTACCAGCAAAATGAGTTTATTTGGGGACGGTTGAGGAACTGCTATTCAGAACAAGCCAACTATGGCAAAAAACAGGCAAGTGGGGGAGAATAGGGGAGAGGCGCTTGCTTTTATACTGGAGAGAAGGAAGCTGGGCGGGGCTGTTTTTGCTGAGTTCTCATTAGCGGGGCTGTTGCTGGGCCAGAGAAATTCTTCCCTCCTCCTGCTGGGGCAGAACAGGCTTCTCCCTGCTGGGGAATGCCGGGTAGGCCTCTTACAGCCAGTGGTAGTGTGAGAGCGCCCCCTTCAGGGCTTCCCGACTCCATTTTTAAATGAGGTTTCCTTTATTTTCACGCAATAATACCTCAATAGAGTTGAAAATTCCAAATTGATAAAATGAGTATATTTTTATTTCCTTGTTTCTTCCAAGGCTGTGTTGCAAAAGCAACATGTACCCCCCTGGCTAACAATTTGATTTCTTTTGTACCATGGAACCCATATTTTGACATTATTACTGCATGCTGAGCAGAATCTTTGAAAGTCCTCTGTAGCTTAGCAGAAACATAAAAATTAATTAGAAACCTTGAATAAATACAGTTTATTTCATGGACAGACTTTTTAAGGGTGTTGAGAAGGCGTGAACTACCTGTCTATTCCGTGTCAGAAGGCATGAGTCTTCTCTTCAATCTCCTCATGGCTGACTTCATCTCTTGGTTCCTCAGAGTGTAGATCAAGGGGTTCAGCAGAGGAGAGATGACAGTAAAGGTGACAGAAATGGCTTTATCGGTGGGGAGGGCAGTGAAGGGCCGGGCATAGACATAGATGCAGGGCACAAAGTGCAGGGTCACCACAGTGATGTGGGAGGTGCAGGTGGAGATGGCTTTCCTCCTTCCCTCCCCTGCCTGAGACCTTACTACTAATAATATGACCATATATGACACCAGGAGGAAGAAAAACCACAGTGTGGTGAGCAGTCCATTATTGGAAATCATCAGCAGCTCAAGCATAAAAATGTCTGTACAGGCGAGCCTGAGGACCTGGGGGACATCACAGTAGAAAGTGTCAAGAACATTGGGTCCACAGAAGGGGAGTGGGAACAACAGGGAAATCTGTACGATGGAGTGGGTAAAGCCCCCCACCCAGGAAGCCACTATTAATCCAATGCAACGGCCTCTACTCATAATGGTCACATAGTGCAGGGGCTTGGAAATGGCCACATATCGATCCAGTGCCATCACTGACAAAGAAAATACGTCCACCCCTCCAACAAGGTGGAAGAAAAACATCTGGGTGAAGCAGCCATTGAAGGAGATGGTCTTTCTCTGTGACAGAAGGTCCACCAGAACCTTGGGAGCTGTGATGGAGGAAAAGCAGATGTCGGCAACAGATAAATTACGGAGCAGGAAGTACATAGGGGTATGAAGGCGAGGCTCATAGGTCACAGTGACCATGATGAGGAGGTTTCCCAGGAGAGTTATCAAGTACACAAGAAGCAGGAAAAAAAATAAGACCAAGCTCAGTCCTTGACTCTGGGTTAGGCCAAGGAAAGTAAATTCTTTCACCCTGGTGTAGTTTTTCAGCTCCATTGAGTCATTTTGTTTTTCTCTTTTGTTTCAAGCTACTTCACATGAACGTACTTGGCTATTGATTTCATTTTCCTCCTAAGCACTAAGACTGCAATTCAGAATCTTGCCCATATGGCTGTAGTGTTTGCAATTTGTTGGGCTGTCCAAATTTTAAGATTGAAATCAGTTTTGTGATCAAATAAAATTACCACATGCAAAGTCATTCAATAATTCTCTTCCTATAAAACTCATTTTGGAAAGAATAAGCATGTTTCCAGCCATTGTAGACTTATAGTCTACAAGCGTAATGTTCATATTAGCAAATATTCCATTGACTTCAAGAGGGTCTTATCTTGCTAGAAAATAACGTTGTTCTGTTTCTTATTGCAGTGTTGCTGTGGCATGAGTCAGTTTCCTTGCTCTTGACTGCTTTATGTCAAATTTCTTAAATCTTCAGCCTATTATTCCATGTAGGTAACTTGTTACTGTGATTATTACTTTATACTAATCAGATTATTTGCTTGATAATCATTTTAAAATATTCAAAAATTGCTATTGGAGAACAGATTGAGACAGCGTATAAATCTAAATCTCAAAGAATCACATTAAATTTTTTTATTGTGGTAAAAACAATTAAACATGAGAGCTACCCTCTTAACAAATTTTTAGGTGCACAGTGTTTTATAGCAATTTTCTAGAACTTCTTCATCTTCTATAACTGATGTGGTCTTTGCCTGAGTGTGGGGGAAAGAATAAGGATAATGACCTGATTTTGAGAAGTGAACTATTCTGTATCCATCACACTCTTCTGCCTCTTTTTTGAATCAGAGCTAAGAGAAAGAGAGATCACACAGCAAGGAGAGACGTTAGTATCATTAGAATAATGCCTTTTTTTTTTCATACACTGTTATGGATAATTCTTACTTATTTTTATAAATTTTTATTTGTTCCACTTTGTACTTAGCAAGTGAGTATTTATTGCAATCTTCATAGGTATAAGAATAAGTTGGACCACATTGTCCAAGTGTTTACACTCTAACAAAAGTGGGTGATTTGTGTAAGTTGATGAACAAAATGTATGATAAAATGTGAAATGTGTCATGAGAAAAGTGAAGGTAGATTTAGGTGGGAGAAGAGATATGGTATAGATATTGTGATTTCCAGGAGCAACAAAAGCTACTACTTTGTGAGTGCTTACTATGTGTGAAGAGTTATAAAATGTTGATACATTTAATGTGCACCACTATCCTTTAGTAAATATTAATGTTATTCTTGTTTTTCATATGGAATATACTATGAGTCTACGTTTGGCTGAAGGGAAGGAAGAGATGGAAATAGGATGGAAGAAATAGAGGTTTCTTTTTTCCCCCTTCAATCTCATTTGGAGGGTCTAATTTCATATAACAAGAATGTTTGATAAAGTCTGTCCGAAGACAGGGATTTGGCAAAACGGGGCTCTGGAAACCCCATTTACATCGACCTTAGTCTGAGGTGGCTTCACTGATAAGCAACTCAAAGGATCACAACAAATATATGATGTCTTCCCTCACACTGAATGGACCTCGTTTCTGGAATCCCTTTTAACACAGCATCCCTCTTCCTGATAGTTAACACCCACCTTTGTTGTTTCTGTCTCTGGGAAGATCATTTTGGCTCTGAAGTGCTTGATACACCTGGAAAATATCAAAGTCAGACTATTTATATATAATCAAAATGACAACATGTCAGTTTCACTATGCATAATGTTAACCTTAGCTAGAAGTTTAATGTCTTGACCGAATTCCTTTGATCCTGAAATTCCAACTAAAAATTGTACACTCTTAGGTACAGTGCAGAATATTACACTTGGAGACATTAATTCTTGAAAATTTTGTTTCTGAAGGAAAGCCTTTTGGAAGACTAAATCTTAGTACCTTTGCTCTCCTTTCAAGAGAAAATGGGCAGATTCAAAGCATCACATCTTCAAGAACTTCTACTGTATCCCTGTCTTATATACAAATCCCTCAACCTCAGGCCTAATAAAAGAATTGCAAAGGGAATATTATTGGGCAAGGATGTGGAAGTCAGATGCCTGATTCTGCTGGTGGTGATGAAGGTTCAATGGGAGTTATTAAAAAGTTACCAAGATATGCACATGTATACACACACACAGATGGACACATTTTGATTAGTGTCCAAATTATTTAGAAGCAGTAGTGGAAATCTATCCCCTTATCCACAGCTCAATCGGAACACTGTTAAAACGTGCCAAATGCTGTGCCCAAGAGACTACAAGGGTCCAATTTTCATGGCTTGCAAGTCTCAGAGGACATTATATATAGGTTTCAATTAGATTGCCAGAAAACTACAAGAGAACTGGACTTAAAATCCTTTGCTGCCAGTTCAATTTCTAATTATACACAGGATGATTATAGTCTCATGATGTTACTGTAAGTCCCTACATGTGGGGAAACATGACTTAGATGGTGTTTGGGGAATGCACATTTTTCCTGTTTTCCTATACTCTGCACGTGTGGTATCTTTCAATTTGGATATGGCTAGATGAGTATGTTAGTAAAGCTAACAACTACAGTAGTTACTTAGGATTAACTCAATTTATTGAATGGCTTGACTTTATATCTTCTGTTTCTACAAGGATGATGGGTTTGGATTTACCTGCTTTTCCATTTTGTTTTTGTTTTATTATATTAAACTGATCTACAAAGATGAAAACTGTATGAGACAGGTTGTATATTTGAGATAGGTAATTCCCCCCCACCCCCACTGCTTTATTGAGATATGATAACATCAGTTAAGGCTGATCCAGCCTTAAACATACACAATGATATTGTGTATGTTTAAGGTATATGATGTATTGACTTGTTACATTTATATATTGCAAAATGATTATTATTGTGGTGTTAGCTAACAGCTCCATTACCTTACATAATTACTAATTCTTTTTTTGTGGTGAGATCACTTAAAATCTACTGTCTTAGCAAATTTCAAGTATATAGTATTGTTAACTATAATCACCATGCTGTACATTAGGTTCCCAAAGGTTTTTCATCCTATAAATGGTAGTTTGTATCCTTTAACTAACATCTCCCCATTTCTCCCACCCCTCAGTACCTGGAAACCACCACTTTACTCTATTTCCATGAGTTCAGATTCCACATATAAATGAGATCATACAGTATTTCTTTCTCTGTCTGACTTATTTCACTTAGCTTAATGCCCTCAAGACCCATCCATGTTATCACAAATGGCAAGATTCCCTTCTTTTCTATGGCTGAAAATATTCTAGCGTGTGTGTGTGTGTGTGTGCGTATTTGTTTGTATATACACATATTTATCCATTTATCCAATGGACACTTAGATTGTTTTCCTGTGTTGGATATTGTAAACAATGCTGCAATAAACATGGGAGTGCTGATACTTCTTTGAGATCTTGATTTTATTTCCTTTGGATATGTACCCAGAGATGGGATTGCTGGATCGTATGGTAGTTCTATTTTTAATTTTTTGAGGAATCTCTATACTGTTTTCAATAGTGGCTGATCCAGTTTATATTTCCATTGACAGTGCATAAGGGTTTCCTTTTCTTCACATCCTTGCCAACACTTATCTCTTGTCTTTTTGATGATAGCCATCCTGACAGGTGTTGAGTGATGTCTCATTGTGGTTTTAATTAGCACTTCTCTGATGTTTAGTGATGTTGAGCACTTTTCATGTATTTGTTGGCCATCTGTATGTCTTGTTTGGAACAGTGTCTTCAGTTCCTCTGCCATTTTTAAATCAGACTGGTTTTTTTGCTGTTGAGTTGTATGAATTCTTTATATATTTTACATATTAGCCCTATATGATTTGCAAATACTTTTTTCCCATTCTATATGTTGTTTTCTTCATTTGTTAATTGTTTCTTTTGCTATGCAGAAGTTTTATAATAACATCAGTTAAGGCTGATCCAGTCCCATTTATTCATTTTTGAATATAGTAGTCCCATTTATTCATTTTTGCTTTTGTTGCTTGTGCTTTTGGTGTCCTATCCAAAATAATCATTGCTAAGACCAATGTCAAGGAGTTTACTCGCATTTTTCTTCTAGGAATTTTATGGTTTCAGGTCTTATACTTAAATCTTTCATCCATTTCAGGGCCCCTGGGTGGCTCAGTTGTTAAGTGTCTGCCTTCAGCTCAGATCATGGTCCCAGGGTCCTGGGATCGAGCCCCGTGTCTGGCTCCCTGCTCGGCGGGAAGCCTGCTTCTCCCTCTTCCACTCCGCCTGCTTGTGTTCCCTCTCTCGCTGTGTCTCTCTTTGTCAAATAAATAAGTAAAATCTTTAAAAAAAAATCTTTCATCCATTTCAAGGTAATTTTTGTGAGTGATGTAAGATAGGGATTTAATTTCATTATTATGCATGTGGTTATACAGTTTCCCTAACACCATGTATTAAAGAGACTGTTGTTTTCTCGTTGTATATTCTTGCCTCCTTTGTTGTAAATTAATTGATTATATATGTGTGGTTTTATTTCTGAGCTCTCAGTTTTGTTCTATTGGTCTATATGTTTGTTTTTATGCCAGTACTGTGCTATTTTGATTACTATAGCTTTGTAGTATAGTTTGAAATCATAATCGTGATGTCTCCAGCTTTGTTCTACTTTCTCATGATTGCATTGGCTACTAGGAGTCTTTTGTGGTGCCACATAAATTTTAGGATTTTTTTTTCTATTTCAGTGGAAAGTGCCTTTGGAATTTTGATAGGGATTACATTGAATCTGTAGATCTCTTTGGGTACTATGGACATTTTACAATATTATTCTAATCCATGAGCATGGAGTATCTTTCCATTTATTTGTATCTTCTTCAATTTCTTTCATTTATGTCTCATGGTTTTTAGTGAATAGATCTTTTACCTCCTTGGTTAAATTTATTCCTAGGTATTTTGTTCTTTTGATGAAATTGTAAATGGAATTGTTTCCTTAATTTCTCTTTCTGATAGTTATCCTCTTTGCTGGTAGGTGGATTTTTTTTTTTTTCCCAGTTTACCTTTCCACAGATGGAGCAATATTTAATTCTCTGGTTTCCTCCTTTATTTCTATTTTTGGTCCTGAGCCTTTCCCTTCCTTTTCTGTGAGTTCTGTTTGCACTTAAGTAAGTTAAGTAAACTAAAGTAAATGTTTGCAAGAAGCACTTTAATGTGTGTATGCATGTTTAAATCAGGACTTTATTTCATGATATATGGTCTTTCATATTGCCTGAAATAGCTTTATTACATTTTCTCCATGGATATAGTTGTATACGGGAGACCAGTGGTGTATGTAATTTGATTTTGTATGTAACAACCTAGTTTAATTCTTTTGTTATTTTCAGTGATCTTTCGGTGAATTTTCTTTATATTATTTTAGATATAGCCTCTCAATATCTGAGAATAATTTTTTCCTCTAATTTTCCAAAGTTTATATTCTTTCTCATTTTTCTTGTTTTTAAATTGTAAGTAAATTCAAGCTTAATGACTTTGTGGTGAGAGTGGGTATCATTGTTTAGTTATGTATGGTAATGGAAATTATTTTAATGTTTAATCATTAGGTATACTGTTTGCTCTCTGGTTCTAATAGATATTTTTTTTATCAAGATAATACAATTTTTCAGGGACTCCTGGGTGGCTTAGTCAGTTAAGTGGCTGCCTTCGGCTCGGGTCATGATCCCAGGGTCCTGGGGTCGAGCCCCGCATCAGGCTCCCTGCTCAGAGGAGAGCCTGCTTCTCCATCTCCGTCTGCCGCTCTGCCTGCTTGTGTTCTCTCTCTCTCTGTCAAATAAATAAATAAAATCTTAAAAAAAAAAAGATAATACAATTTTTCTTCAGTTCTTGGCTTTATAGGTGTTTTGTTCTTCAAGTAAGAACAAATTGTGTTGTATTGAATATTTTCTGCATCACTGAAATAATCACATTGTTTCTCTTTTTAATCCATTATTGCTGTGAATTGCATTAATAGTTCTCTTTGAAAAAAATTTTTTTTTAAAGATTTTATTTATTTGACAGAGACACAGCAAGAGAGGGAACACAAGCAGGGGGAGTGGGAGAGGGAGAAGCAGGCTTCCCATGGACAGGGAGCCCAATATGGGGCTCAATCCCAGGACCCTGGGATCATGACCTGAGCCGAAGGCAGACGCTTAACGACCTGAGCCACCCAGGCGCCCCAAAAGTTCTCTTTGAATTTTGGGAATAAACCCTACTTGATGATAATTTGTCATTGTTTTAATTCATTGGTATGTAATTTGCTAAAGAGTAATAAGAACTTAACATTTTTGTTCAAAGATGTGATTGGTGTGTACACATATATTAGATACACGATAGTACTAGATATATTAGGTGCTATTATCTAGTTTATAGATAGGGTTATGCCATTTTTATAGAATGAGTTAAGAAGCTTTCTACAATTAGTTAAAATATTGGATTTACTAGCTTTTTGAATATTTATTGAAAATCATGGACAAAGCAGTTTTGACAAAGCTATTTTTGACACCTTTTCAATTCATCTATAATTATTGATCTATTAAGATTTTTTCCCCCTTTCCTTTAGTCAATTTTGGTAACCTATATTTTCCATGGAAATTATATTCTCTCTTCCATCCTGTAAAAATTTAATACTATGTTTCAGTGCACTGAGTCTTTACTTCTTTCCCTTAGTAGGGTGCAAGTTCATAGATTACATTTGTTTGTATACTCGAGAGAATGGTCACTCTTGGATGTGCCTGGATATTTGGGGAACAAAAGGAGGGTTCTGTATGTTTTCTGTATGAAAAAAAGATAATATGAGGAACTATAGCAATAGTATCTTTGGTCCCCTGAAGTGAGGACAAATAGCAGTTTCAAACTTTCTTTTAACACCAAGAAACTGATAAAACGTGTATGAATAATGTAATTTGTGTAATAGATGATCAAAATTTAGTCATAAAAAATATGTTTTGTACTAGTGAGTTGATGACAGTCTTATGTGTTCCTAAAGCACAGGGTTGACCAAATTAAACATGTTTGCTTTTTATCTCTCTTTGGGAAAGTGTTTGTGTGTTTGTGAGAGAGAGAGTGTGTGTGCACACATCAGGGACTGATTACTTATATATATATATATTTTTTTAAGATTTATTTATTATTTTTAAATTTAATTTTATCATGTTATGTTAGTCACCATACAGTACATCATTAGTTTTTGATATAGTGTTATTTATTTATTTGAGAGAGAGAGCGAGAGTGAGTACACAGAGGGAGAGGGAGAAGCAGATGCAGGGCTGGATCCCAGGACCCCGGGATCATGACCTGAGCCGAAGGCAGATGCTTAACCGACTGAGCCGCCAGGGTGCCCCCTACTTATATCTTTAAATATTGAATTTCTTTTCTTTTTTTTTTTAAAGATTTTATTTATTTATTTGAGAGAGAGAGACAATGAGAGACAGATAGCAAGAGAGGGAAGAGGGTCAGAGGGAGAAGCAGACTCCCCGCCGAGCAAGGAGCCCGATGTGGGACTCGATCCAGGGACTCCAGGATCATGACCTGAGCCGAAGGCAGTCGCTTAACCAACTGAGCCACCCAGGCACCCTAAATATTGAATTTCTTAAGTTCTAAGGTGAACCTTTCTTTTTAATATTTCTTTCTTTCACATTTTTAGAATCAGTAATAGAATTTTATTGCATCTAGGTATTACTTCAATGAAAGACTGTGTTCACAATACTTTGCTGCACTTAATAAAGGAACACATATAATAGATATTTCTGTAAGTGCCAGAACTACTGTGTTATTTCATTTAAAGAATGTGATATACACACTGTAGTTCAAGGGACACACTATGTAACGTCACAAGTATAAAAGGTGTTTTGAAGAGCGATAGAATTACATTGCATCCAGATAGTGTTTTTTCAAGGAAAAGATGTATTCAACTCATGGGCAGAATTTAAACCATTCTGTAGTCACTAGTAAAAAAGATGTTTCTAAGACCGCCACTTGTATGTATAAATAAGACCATGTTATTTCATTTAAAGACTGTGCTCATTACATGGTACTGCGTTTAAAACAACCTGTACTTGTTTGTTTTGTTTCTTAAATTCCACATGTGCGAGAAATCATATAGTATTTGTCTTTCTCTGACTGACATTTCACTTAGCATAATACCCTCTAGCTCCATCCATGTTGTTGCAGATGGTTTTTCACACTTTATTTATTTATTCAAATTTTTTATTATTTTTTAAAGATTTTATTTACTTATTTGAGAGAGACGGGGAGAGAGAGAGCATGAGCAGAGAGAGGGAGAAGCAGACTCCCTGGCTGAGCAGGGAGCAGGACGCGGGACTGGGTCCCAGGACCCCAAGATCATGACCCGAGCCAAAGGCAGATGACTAACCAACTGAGCCACCCAGGCACCCTGGTTTTTCACATTTTAATGTCCATGAAATTAAGATGTGCCTTTCCATCAATGAGTACATGTAACACGGTACTGCTTCATTTTTACAACATAGTTGTTATTAAAGTGGCATTTTCCAGCGGATGACCTTTTCAATCAAATATGGTATAGTCACCATGCAAAAATACTCGAAACTCCATCTCCGTGTCTCTTTTCATAAAGTATAGAAGCAGTCTGCTTGGTGTCAAATGGTCTCACTATTAATCAGTTACATGGGGGCATTTCAGAGGGTGTTAAATTAGATCTTTACTCCAGATTCAAATGTTTTATTCCATCCTATGCAGAGTCCATGAAGAGGTGACAGGTTGGGACTGGCTTCTCTAGCCTAATGCACTTGTACTTGAGATTTGGGCATGGGTGTGGTGCCCATTCCTGGACTCTTGGGAGAAGCATGTGACCACCCTCCATTGGTTTTTTCACCTCCTACTTCCAGCCCTTTTTCCTTGTATCCATCTTTCTATTCCTTTTCCTTTTCAGCTCTTACAGCCTCATAATTTCCAATTGAAGTATTACCCTTGTATTGGTTTCCTTTTGCTGCTGTAACAAAATCGCCACACATTTAGTGGCTTAAAACAACACCAATTTGTTGTCTTACAAATTCTTAGGTCAGAAATCTGACATGAGTATCAACTGGCTAAAATCAAGGTGTTGGCAGGGTGAATTCCTTTCTGGAGGTTCTAAGGCAGAATCAATCCTCTTGCTTTTTCTAGCCTCTAGAGGCTAGCTACATTCCTTGGTTTGTGGATCTTCCCACTGTTTCAGCTAGCCCTGTTAAGTCAAGTACCCCTCACATTGCATGACTCTGACCTCTTCTTCTGTCTACCTCTTCCACTGTTAAGGACACTTGTGATTACATTGGGCCCTCCCAGGTAATCAGGATTGTCTCCCTATTTAAAGGTCAGCTCATTAGCAACCTTAATTCCATCTGCGCCCTTAGTTTCCTTTGCCATATAACATAGCACACTCACAGACTCTGGGGATTGGGATTTGAACATTTTGGTGGGGGAGACAGAGATTATTCTGCCTATTACAATCCCCTCTTATTCAGTTTTCTCATTTCATTCTGAAGTCTCCAAACTCTGAATGCTGGAAGGTTTTTAGAAGATCATTTGGTAGTAAAATCTCATCTACCTGAATTAATTTTGTGGCAAAATTTGATCTGAGTTAGTGTGAGGCCATGCATGGTTTTATTGATTACACTTAGTGGGACTATTTATACATTTTCTTTCCTTTTATTTTTAAGATTGTATTTATTTATTTATTTATTTATTTAATTTATTTATTTTTAAAGATTTTATTTATTTATTTGACAGGGAGAGACAGCCAGAGAGAGAACACAAGCAGGGTAAGTGGGAGAGAGAGAAGCAGGCTTCCCGCCGAGCAGGGAGCCTGATGCGGGGCTTGATCCCAGGACCCTGGGATCATGACCCGAGCCGAAGGCAGACGCTTAACGACTGAGCCAACCAGGTGCCCCTATTTTATTTATTTTTAAAGAGAGAGAACATGAGCGAGGGGAGGAGCAGAGGGGGTGGGCGTGGAGGGGGAAAGAATCTCAAGCAGACTCTTTCCTGAGTGTGGAGCCCAACACAGAGCTCAATCTCACAACCCTGAGATCATGACCTGGAAGCCAAGAGTCTGACACGTAAGCAACTGAGCCACCAAGGCACCCCTACTTATACATTTTCTTACAGAAATATTAAAGTGTGGATATGAGAGAGAAATGATGTGGATACGGGAGAAATGATGTAATATACAATACATGCACTATGCTATCTTTTTAAAATCTAAGGAACTCCAAATTCCAAAGCCTATTTGGTCCTAATAAATTGAGATAAAGGAATGTGGTCCTGTATTATTATTATTATTATTATTATTATTATTATTATTAACCTGTAGTTACATTTCCATGAACCTCTTTCCTTACTCAGTTTTACTAGGTCCCATGCTCCAGAGAAGGAGAGGAGAGAAGAGGAAATACATCCCATGCTTCTGTATACAATTACCAGGCATCCTGAGGGGCTGTCTGGACATACTCAGAGCACAGGTTTATTGGAACTCTAAATGAATTTGTACATTCATTTTCCTTGAGTGTTGCAAAACATTCATTTGCCCTGGGATGTTTATCTTCAATTGTGTACATGGTTCTCAACAAACGTTTTTGGATCTAACACTTGATTTGGTGATTTTATAAAGACATATATCGATGCTAAGACTTTGAGTATAAGATTATAGTACACTCTAATTTAGCCATTTCAATTTCCTTTGGCTTCCACGAGGAAGTATCTATTTAGAAAATAAAGTCAGTTTTATTTATTTATTTATTTATTTTTGTTTTTAAAAAATATTTATTTGACAGAGAGAGACACAGCGAGAGAGGGAACACAAGCAGGGGGAGTGGGAGAGGGAGAAGCAGGCTTCCCGTGGAGCAGGGAGCCCAATGCGGGGCACGATCCCAGGACCCTGGGATCATGACCTGAACCAAAGGCAGACGCTTAACGACTGAGCCACCAGGTGCACCAAAGTCAGTTTTAAATACTAAAAGACAAGATTAAGTAGAATTTGGCATCTTCTGACATTCATTTCATTCCATCCCACAGATTCAACCAACATTTACAGCTTTTTATAGGTCAGGCACTATTCTAGACACTGGGAATATAAAGGAAAACCAGATCTAGTGACATGGAGTTTTATGGGGTATTTTAATACACTGTTGTAAGGGAAATGATAAAGGAGTGCACATAGGAAAAATAAAAGTATTTATTGGGTTGGATACAGCTTTTCTTTTTTCAGCTATTATGCCTTAGGCAGTGCTATGAACAGTAGGACAGGCTGTTCTGGATTCTTGCCATTGTTGTGTTTACGTTGTTGTGTATTTTGTAGGTGAATTGATTAAAAAGGCCCAAAGTTGCTGACAAAGCAGAGGTGATGGAGAAGAATGTTTACAAGCAGTCTTTGATACACAGTATATGCTTAATAAATAGTCATAGGGTAACTATTGCTAGACTGGGACCTAGCAGCTGGAGCCCTGCTATGTTGAGATAGATGTCCCTGTTGCCTACTGCATGTGTGAACATTGCAGTGCTATCCTTCACCCTGTTGCTGGGACACCCAAGACCTCCTATTATATTTCACATTTATAACCTGCTTGCTGTCAATTGCTCTGCAAGTACTGTGTTTTTCTGTTTAACTTCCTGTCGGTGTTCTTTCTCAATACCAGTGTTTCAGGTCACTGATCCTTTGTGTCTGTGCCATCCTGCTATAGTTAATTGTCTATGCATGGTTGAGCCCCAATATGTGACAGCGAATATTTTTAAGAACATTTTTCCATTATGTTTGTATCTTGATCGACAGTCTATAATGAGGTTATCCCCTTCCAGAAAACATAAGTCTTCTCTTCAGTCTCCTCATGGATGACTTCATCTCCTGGTTCCTCAGGGTGTAGATCATGGGGTTCAGGACAGGGATGATGACCGTTAAGGTGATGGAGACAGCTCTGTCCATGGGGAGGGCAGTGAAGGGCCGGGCATAGATATAGATGGAGGGCACAAAATGCAGAGTCACCACAGTGATGTGGGCTGTGCAGGTGGAGATGGCTTTCCTCCCGCCCTCCCCTGTGTGAGTCCTCAGCATCATCAAGATGACTGTGTAGGACACAAGAAGAAGGAAAAACCACAGGGTAGTGAGCAGACCATTGTTGGAAATCATTAAGATCTCAAGAGCAAATGTGTCAGTGCAGGCAAGTTTGAGGACCTGTGGGACATCGCAATAGAAAGTGTCAAGAACATTGGGTCCACAGAAGGGGAGGGGCAGCATCAGGAAAATCTGCACGATGGAGTGAACAAAGCCCCCCACCCAGGAGGCCACAATGAGGGCAGTGCATCGCCCCCTACTCATGATGGTCACATAGTGCAGGGGCTTGGAGATGGCCATGTAACGATCAAAGGCCATGACAGAGAGAGAAAAAACGTCTGCCCCACCGAGAAGGTGGAAGAAGAACATCTGAATGATGCAACCATTGAAGGAGATGGTCTTTGTCCTTGACAGAAGGTCCACGAGGACCTTGGGAGCAGTGATGGAGGAGAAGCAGATGTCCAAGACTGAGAGATTGCGGAGCAGGAAGTACATGGGGGTGTGAAGGCGGGACTCATAGGTCACAGTGACCATGATGGCAACATTTGCTAACACAGTTGTTACATAAACTACAGATAAAAAGAAAAATAAGAGCAAGCTCAACTCTTGAGACTGGGTAAGTCCACAAAAAATAAATTCAGACACCTTGGTATGATTTTTCAGGGCCATTGAATGATATTTCTTCCTCCATGTACAGCTTTGAAAGAAACAATAATATTGCTGAGGCATTGAAATCAAGCAAAGATTTATCTCTTACGTGGAAATTGAACATGCATAAATATAGTTTTAATCATATGTCTTATTCTTTATGAACCTGCTGTGTTACCTGGGGAAGTCACTCAGTTTTAACTTGCTTCAGCTCCCTCTTTAGCCCAAAATGTGGTATGAGCTAGATCATTCATTTCCCTACTGTACTTACTGGGGCCTTTGGCATCTGTTAAAATCCAACCCTAGACAGACAGGAGCGAAGGGGCTGTTTCTGAGTTGGACTGATGGAGAAAAAATTCTTGTCGTTTCATCCCAATCCTAGTTGTTAGAACAGAGTTAAACTTGGATGTTGTAATTGAATGTCATACACATTTAAAGTCTTGCAATGGTGCTTTAAGTATCAATGTAGCATGTGAAAGGCATTGTACAGACAGGTAAAATTTTTTTGAGTATTGTAATGTGATAACAGCACCTCTTCATCTTTAACTTGAAATTAAAACTATCAGAGTTTATTTTTGTATAACTTAAGGAAGGTGAATTTAGGGGACTAGAAGACTCAAAATGGGCTTCTACAGATCCAGTGACATAAATGTAACCAGTTTGTTGGGATTTTATAGCTAAAATTATATTTGTGTATATAGCTTTAATCTGTAAATTGTAATAAATATATTTGCAATTATTAAATGTTACATGATATTTTGGTTCAAAAAAAAAAAAAAATCCACCCCAGAGGTTGTTGAGGAAGAGAACTAAGGAAGGCTTCATGGAAGGAGCTGTGGGTTCCCTACACCTCCATGAATGGGAGCACCTCTGATTTTATTCTCATTCCACTTTCTTTCTATGCCTTAAAAGTGATTGGAATAAAACAACCCTCATAAGCCTTTCAGTGACACCATGAATGGGATTGATTTGAACAGCATGTTATAGTTTTAAAAGCACTGCCCACCTAATTACAATCAATTTTTCTAATATCCCTCTGAGGTTAGAGGGGAAGGTATTAGCATTCCCATGTCAATTAATACCAAAACTGAAAGAGTGAACTCAATAAGCATTAAGCCAATTTTCCAAGGTCATATGGAAAATCAGTGGCACAGGAAAAGTAACACAAGTCTCTTCTGTCTCTTAGTTCTAGGATCTTTCTACTCTTCCATGCTGCCTGCCAGCTTCAGAATATATAAATCCAAGAATAATTTGTATAAGAGACTCTTTACAGAATTTTCCTAGTCCTTTCAAGAGTGGGTTTCATCAGCCCCTTCATTTCCTCTCTCCATGACCAAGGAATTTTAGACTACTGCCCTTCTATATCTTTTAGAAATGACAAGTTGTTTTTTTTTTTCAACTTAAAAAAATTTCATTTCATCAATACCCAGAGGTCGGGGTTTAACACAAAGATGACAAGGATGGTACCAGAGATGGTTCTGTTCACAAAGAAGACAGCAAAGTCCAGGCATGCATACGTAGAGAGAGGGCATGAAGTACAAGCCTACCACAGAGATATAGGCAATGCAGGTACACCCTTCCTATAAAACCTGAGGAGTTTCTGATGAGCTTAGGATTTGCATTTCCTAACAGCATACAGATCAACACCCAATGGAACAATGGTAGCTCCCTGTCCCTGGAGGCCCATAGGTTCTCTTACTATAGAGTCCTGTTTGGGAAGGAAGTGGCAGATCCAACTTAGAGAATTTTCAATTCATTCTAGTTTGCCTGTGGGAGTCAGGAGTGAGCAATATTTTATTGCTTGAGGGTGAATTTTGAAAAAAAAAAAAAAAAAGTCCCGGGGGAAGTTTAATTGACATGCAGAAGGACATAGAGAAAGCTAGTGGTGAAGTTTAGCTTTCAGCACAATACATATTCCACTCATGCCATTTTAGTAATTTCTGAGATTTACGATGGTGGCAGTGGTGACAAAGTTAACTCAGAGGAAAAAGCCATCTTCAGCCTAAGCATCTGTCTGAACCATCTGGCACCACCATCTAGGTGGTCCCCAGAACGTGCCCACTTGGGAAGCATCACTCTTGGTCTGTGTAGAAACAAGCTTTGAGAGCCTTAAGAAATTATGTGGATAAATAACCTCCAAACACACATTGCATCTCCTTTGCTCTGAAGAATATGACCACTTGCCTTGTTTCCTCTGTTTATTCTGTCTCGGTGAGCACAGTGGCCCCCACAGCAGGTACTGATAGGTAGCATGTTTTATCCAAAAGACTTCTACTGAGCCACTCGCATTGCAAGGAACCGGGACACTGGTAAAAACTCTCCTGAGGATTCTACTTTCTTCACCTCTCCCAGTGTGTCCCCTTCTCTTCCTCCTCAGTTAACCCCTTATCATTTCTCCTTAGATCATTGCAAGTTTCCTAACTGGTTTCCTTTCCTTCAGTGTCGTTTTCTCTAAGTCATCCTGTCTGTTTTTCCCAAAAATGTAATTACAAGTCACAAATGGGACCATATATTCATTTGTCTGAAAATCTTTAATGTCTACAGAATATTGTCTATTGTCTACAGAATAAAGATTAAACTCCTGTTGGTATTGTCTGGTACCCTGTTTCCTTTGATCCTCTGTTTCAGGTATTTAAATGTTATGCAAATTCTGGCCCACACCTTTAGATCTGTGTTCCTGTGGCTTGCTCTACCCACCATGCCCTCCCCACTTCCAGAATCTCCTATTTATCTGCCTTCACAGACACTGATCTTTCAACACTCAGGGTCAGAGTCTCCTATTCTGTGAAAACTTTTCTGACACCCCTTTGGGACTCCTCATTCTCTGCACTGACTTCTCTTCTGGTAGTTGTAACAGATCGTTCCATCTAAGTTCTTACGTGTCTGTCTCTCCTTAGTTCAGTATAATTTCCCTATTATGCCTCAAGTTCATCCTACCTGCTCAGTGTTTCATTCATCCTAACATCACCAAAGCTTTACCTAGTTTGGGCAAGTGTTAGGTGCTCAAAAAATGTTTGTTTGTTTTTTTAATTAATGAATAAACCTACCTGGTAAGTGTTCATCATGACATAAGCATTGGCGTTGGAATGAGGGTGAGTGAGAAGGATCTTGACAAACACAGGCTAAGCAACTCTTTTGTTAATGTCCTTGATTTGACCTCAGGGGTACCAGATAGAGATGCATTTTCTGATCCAGGCTATAAAATAGCTTTGTGACCTTGAAAAAGTCATTCATCTCTCTGCCTCAGATCCTCAGTTGTAAAATTGTGTGATATGGTGTGGAGCAATGTTAAGGGCTTTCGAGTAGGGCATACCTAGACTAGAATTCTGCCTCTTCCTTCTTTTTTACCTGGAGCAAGTCCTCTATTTTCCTTCAGTTTCCTCCTCTGTAAACTAGGAAGCATAATACTTAACTTCATTGGGTAGAATAAAGAGCAACTACGATTATGTCTGTAAAGTTCCCAGCACATAGTAGGCATTCAATTAACTTGATTTCTTTCCCTTTCCCCTGAAAACAGGATCTTCCCTGGTTGTCATGAAGAGTTATTTAAGAAGACGTTGGCAGAATGTAAAATGTTATTCAGTAGAACAGCTTCTCTTTGAACCAATTTGCTTGTTTGTATTTCAATGAACTTATGTGCGTTAACCAAATGGGTCAGAGGTTTCAGTGCTAGGTCATCGGGTTTGGGAATAAAGCTGGCTCTGGGTCAAAGGCACAAGATACTCAGTGAATCATGGGCAATGTGTGGATATGGGGCTGCCTTTGAAACCTCTACAGCTTTTCTTTTTTTTTTAAAGATGTTATTTATTTATTTGACAGAGAGAGAGAGCAAGCGAGCGCCAAGCACAAGCAGGGGGAGCAGCAGAGGGAGAGGGAGAAGCAGGCTCCCCACCAAGCAGGGAGCACAATGCAAGGCTTGATCCCAGGACCCTGGGATCATGACCTGAGCCAAAGGCAGACGCTAAACTGACTGAGCTACCCAGGTACCCCAAAACCCCTACGGTTTTTAAGGGAATTTAGGGCATTTTAGAATCATGTATTTTTAAGGAAACACCCATCTTGTGGAAGAATGCTCTGTGATCCCCATGGACAGACCCTAAGCTGGAATAAAATCTCCTTAAATGCAATTCAGTTGTTCTACCAAATGCCAGCTGCTTTCTCTTTAAGCATGCTGACCCCATGTCTGTGGCCCCTTCTTAGAAAGACATTCCTCCTTTCCCAATATTTAACATCCACTTCATTTTCTCTCACTAAAGAGAGAGCTATTTTTGCAGTATCTAATGCACTGGGTACATTTTTCATGCTTATCCTATTCATGCATAATCCACAATGTCTCACACTGACAGGTCCATGTCCTTACCTAAACCTTCGGTGTCCAAACAGGAATTCGCACCATCTGAGACTGGGTGGGTGGGTGTCAGCGTATTTGATGCTGGGGAACCATCATGTTAGAAGGCCAAGTCTGTCTCAAGATTAGATAACACTAGATTTCAAGGTCTTCTCTTCTACCTTCACATTGGAAAGGGAAGACTCAGGGAGTTGTGTCATCATGACTCTTCTGCTTTCCCCTGTCACATGCACTAGTCCCTCAGGCCCAAGCCTAAATACAAGAATTAGCAAAGGGAATTTTACTGGATATGAGTGTGGAAAGAGAATGGACCTTTTCAGATCATGTTGGAGTTCCAGTGGGGGTTATTAAACAGTTTCCAAGTCATTACTGCATGCAAGTCCACACATATATACATGCATACATACACACAGATGCCCACGTTTCTGTTTTCTAAATTCTTGTAAAACGCCAGAAGGTATAAATCTATCAGCTCTGTGAGTCTCTGAGTTTTAGGGAAACATACTAATATAAACATCTAATGTCATATGATCATTCATTCTCAATGTGAGCAACATGCCCAAGGGGACAAAAATTGGTTCTTGGAGGCCAAAAAATTCTTAGATATTACAGTGCTGTGTGGCCCTTCAAAGAGTTTCAGTACATAAAAAGATACATTGTATATCTTTGGTATTAAATTTTCTTAGGGTGGGGTGCCTGGGTGGCTCAGTTGGTTAAGCGTCTGCCTTCAGCTCGGGTCATGATCCCAGGGTCCTGGGATTGAGCCCCACATCAGGCTCCCTGCTTAGCGGGGAGCCTGCTTCTCCTTCTCCCTCTGACTGCAGCTCCCCCTGCTTACTCTCTCTCTGTCAAATAAATAAATAAATAAAATCTTAAAAATTTTTTTTTCTTGTGGGAGAGCAATTAGGAAAAATATCTAATAAAGTTCCTTGGAGGGGGCAATAATTTTTAAAAATTTGAGAAGCACTGACATATGATTAAGTCTTGGCCTAGCCTCTTCCATAAGTGGCCTGAAGTGACCTCTGAAAATGGTTCACTATTCACTTGACCCAGAAAACCCTATAAAATCATGCAAATCTTCATGTTCACTCTAAGAACACACATAAAACTACCCAGGCCATCAAGGCGTATGCATATCTGAAAAACCACCAAGTATCTGAAGGATGTCACTTTGCAGAAGCAATGTGTGCCATTCTGTTGCTATAATGGTAGAGTTGGTCGGTGCTCCCAGGCCAAATAGTGGGGCTGGATACAGGGTCGGTAGCCCAAAAGGAGTACTGAATTTTTACTGCACATGCTTAAAAATGCAGAGAGTCATGCTGACCCTAAGGGTTTAGATGTAGGTTCTCTGGTCACTGAGCACATCCAGGTGAACAAAGCTCCCAAGATGCGGCATGGAATTTACAGGGCTCATGGTCAGGTTAACCCACACATGAGCTCTCCCTGCCGCTCTGAGATGCTCCTTACTGAAAGAGAGAAGGTTGTTCCTGAACTAGAAGAGGAGGTTGCACAGAAGAAAAAAATATCCCAGAAGAAACTAAAGAAAAAAACCTTATGGCCTGGGAGTAAATTCTGTATAAAATAAAAACAAAGGTAAAAAAAAAAAAAAAAGTCTTGGCCTAATGTCTCCATCTTGTAGGATTCAGAGAAGATCACATTTATGTGTCACTTACTAGGACCTTTTAATGCATCATAACAATTTGCAAAAAATTGTTCTGTATGTTACAATATCCTGATTTACTGTATGTTGCTTTTTTACTAATTGATTTCTGAACGACGATTGTAGGCTGGAGGGTGGAATTTGACATGAGCATAGGGAGTGAAGAAACATTTATTGTCTTTCTACATATTAAATTCTGTGGAATTCTTCTTTGGAGAGATGCGGATTACAACACAGACCCAGTGGCTATTCCTAAATGACCCTGCATATGATATGTTTCTTCCCTCTCCTGGTACACAAAACGGGTATTGAGTGTGTGAAAAGGTATTTCTTAGGTATTTTTGTTGTTGTTCTAAGTGACTTCTCTTGAACTGTCAGGCATTCAAAGACAAAAACTATAGATTTGCTCCAGCTATAAAAGCTCTGAGAGTGAAATGGGGAGAGAAGAGGGGGAAGAAGAAAGTTCAGGTTAACATAAAATAAATTACCATGGTGGAATTTGTGCAGATATATCCCCAAACCATACAAGCACTTTTGAGGTTAATTTCTGTGGGCAAATTAGTAGAATGGACCTGAGAAGAGGAAATTCTTGGTCCATGTGTAGATTTGTCCATGTATATATCCGACTGAACACGTTTAAAACATTTCTTCTCTTTTCACTAGTTGGTGAAATATATTGAAGATTCTGTATTCAGAATATTAAATCAAGAAGTGATTTTAATAATTAACTGGAAATACAGAGTCACTAGAGAGAGCACCTATGAAATAAACACATCCATAATCTCCACATGTGCATATTTGGGATTAGAGGGATAGACAATAGGGAACATGGATTGTATGCCTGATTAACACCACCATTGGTGCTAATCTTCAGAACCACCATCCTCTCAATATTTATCATTCTTCATTCTCATGAACACCTTGTGAGCGGACAATGTCATTTCCATATTGCAGGGGGTCAAAGTAAGGTAAAATATGTTGGCAGAGAATCACAGATTACACCAAAATAGCTTTAGGTAATTGATTTCCATCTTCTACCCACTGCTTCTCCCAAGTTTACAAGCCCAATAGCTCATGTTCAATCTCTTCTCTTCCTTTTGTTGTTAGATTCCTGCTAAGAGAGTTGAGTGGCTATGAGGATATATAGAAATGACTGGTGAGAGAGCTAGCCATCTGTTGCCTCAGGATAGTAGTTCGAGGAACCCAGATCATAGATTTCCAGTCTCTATGTGAGTGCTCACCCCAGCTTACTGCTCTCAGAAGGCCCAAGCCTTCTCTGCAGTCTTTTCATGGCTGACCTCATCTCCTGGTTCCTCAGGGTGTAGATCATGGGGTTCAGCATGGGGGTAATGACCGTGTTATTGATGGACACAGCTGTGTCCATGGGCAGCATAGTGAAGGGTCTGCAGTAGATATAGATGCAAGGCATGAAGTGCAGAGTCACCACGAGGATATGGGAGGTGCAGGTGGACAGGGCCTTTTTCTGCCCCTCCCCAGAGTGAGATCTCAGCATGGCCAGAATGACGGTGTAAGACCCCAGGAGCAGGAGGAACCACAGCAGGGTCACCAGCCCGTTGTTAGAGATCATGAGAAGCTCCAGGGCAAAGGTGTCAGTGCAGGCCAGCTTAACCACTTGGGGCACATCACAGTAGAAGGCATCCAGGATGTTGGGGCCACAGAAGGGGAGCGGGAGCATCAGAATTATCTGGACAATTGAGTGCAAACCACCGCCCACCCAGGAAGCCACCACCAAACCCACCCACACCTCTCTCCTCATAATGGTCACATAATGCAGGGGCTTGGCGATTGCAAGATATCTGTCATAGGCCATCACAGAGAGGAAGAAAATGTCTGCCCCACCAGCGAAGTGGAAGAAGAAGATCTGTGCCATGCAGCCATTGTAGGAGATGGTTTTCTTCTCTGATAACAGGTCCACCAGGAACTTGGGAACAGTGACAGATGAAAAAACAATGTCCAGGACCGATTTGTTCCGCAGCAAAAAGTACATGGGAGTGTGAAGGTGGGACTCACAGGTGATGGTCACCACAATGAGGGCATTGCCTAGCACAGTTGCTACATACACAGCAAGGAAGACCACAAACAAGAACAATTCTAGCTCTTGGAAGTGAGTGAGTTCCAGGAAGACAAATTCCTTCACATTGGTGTGGTTGCTCTGGCCCATGGTGCAGACCATCCTCCTCCAGGTCTACCTTGGGAGAAGGTACGTTAGGGTTAGGAGTAGAGTGCCATGAGGGGACAGCATCACTTATTGTATATTCTTATAAGGCTCTATTGAGCATCCAGATCATCATGACTACTCAGAAAAACTGGGCTAGGGTCTCCCCTTTTGTGGCCAGGAAATTCTTTATCCTGATGATTCTTCTCTCCTATTGGAAATACCCTGAGTGGACAGCAAGAGCCATCATACTCCGATGCCTTTCCTCTGATAAGAGGGAGATGGCAAGACTAGGGTCATTTGACTAATGGCTTGCCTTAAGTGCTGCAAGAGTAGCTTCCTCACATGTATGCAGGGCTTTCTCCTTTACCAAAGGCTTTCACCGACAGCATCTCATCTTGATTTTCATTCTCATGATGTCTCTGTGGGGTCTAGAGAGTGGTTATGATCATCTCCATGTTATATTGGAGGAGCTGAAGCTTAAGGAGCAGTTAATGTCTTGCCCACATTTGCATAACTGCAAAGTTAGTCAGTGGCAAATCGAGGATTCAAATCCAAAGAGTTTTTTGGACTTGACAAAGACCAAATGTTAATTGGGCTCCTCTGAGCCCTCTTTTCAACTAGGCCTAGATCTTGGCTTTCTGTGTCTTTACTTGCTGAGAATCCTGCTAAATCAGTTTAGCAAGAAGCCCCTACCCTTGACGTCTGATCAATGTGTCATCCCTGGCCCTTGATATCTAACTCCTTGTATCTAAGTCCTTGGCTTATCTTTAAAGAGTCCTGTTAAGCCAATTTAGCATGAATTCCTTGGTCTTCATATGTCCTTTTCGTAATTTTCCATCCACTGACCCCCTCACTCTGCTCATTGGCTATAAATCCCCACCTATCCTTATTGTATTTGGAGTTAAGCTTAATCTCTTTCCTTTATTGCAATCATCTTGACCCCTGTTGCAAGAGTCTTGAATAAAATTTGTCTTGCCATTTTAAACAAGTGTCCAGTGAATAGTTTTTGTTTAACAGACTCCAGAGGCTTTCTCCCTGTACCATTCTGCCAGATGAGAGAGTTTGGAATTTAACTTTGGTTTATCAGAATTATACTGGGTAGATAAGGTTTAAGTGGTTAATTAAATAGCCTGACTACTTAATCCTCACCTCCTCCTTTACAGGAAAAGAAGAATCAGGCCCTGATAAGTAATCCTCTGGGGCCTCAGAGACGCTTGGACCTCACTGGGCCCACAGGGCTCTTGATACAGGGTAGAGCTGCAGTCTTTGATCAGAGCACATGCAGGTATTATGGACAAACTATTAAAGCCTCAGAGGTGACTTAATCCAAAACTCCTCACTTTAGGGGTGAACAGAGAAGATTGTTTATTCTTCAAGAACCAGTCTGATTTGGTGAAAGACAGAGAATTTTTTTTTTTAATATTCAAGTACTTTTCTGTTTCTTTTCTGTTTGTCATGAAAACACTTAAGATCTACCCTTTTAACAAATTTCAAGTATACAATAAAGTATTTTTAACTGTAGTCACCATGCTGTACATTAGATCTCCAGAACTTACTCATCTTGCGTAACTCAAATGTTGTGCTCCTTGACCAACAACTCCCATCTCCTGCTCCCTCT